TATCTATCGTCTCGTCTAGCAGGGTTAACTCTGTAAGCGAACCTATCTATCGTCTCGTCTAGCAGGGTTAACTCTGTAAGCGAACCTATCTATCGTCTCGTCTAGCAGGGTTAACTCTGTAAGCGAACCTATCTATCGTCTCGTCTAGCAGGGTTAACTCTGTAAGCGAACCTATCTATCGTCTCGTCTAGCAGGGTTAACTCTGTAAGCGAACCTATCTATCGTCTCGTCTAGCAGGGTTAACTCTGTAAGCGAACCTATCTATCGTCTCGTCTAGCAGGGTTAACTCTGTAAGCGAACCTATCTATCGTCTCGTCTAGCAGGGTTAACTCTGTAAGCGAACCTATCTATCGTCTCGTCTAGCAGGGTTAACTCTGTAAGCGAACCTATCTATCGTCTCGTCTAGCAGGGTTAACTCTGTAAGCGAACCTATCTATCGTCTCGTCTAGCAGGGTTAACTCTGTAAGCGAACCTATCTATCGTCTCGTCTAGCAGGGTTAACTCTGTAAGCGAACCTATCTATCGTCTCGTCTAGCAGGGTTAACTCTGTAAGCGAACCTATCTATCGTCTCGTCTAGCAGGGTTAACTCTGTAAGCGAACCTATCTATCGTCTCGTCTAGCAGGGTTAACTCTGTAAGCGAACCTATCTATCGTCTCGTCTAGCAGGGTTAACTCTGTAAGCGAACAAAAATCAAAATCAAATTGTATTGCGCCCCAATCGGCAAAATCCTAAATTCGTTTGATGAACAGGTCTTCACCGATTGTAACGTTTCTTTCTGGAGCCTCTCAAAGCAAAGGATTGTTTTCTCGCATTGGACGGTTTGACAAATTGTGTGTCCTGATGTAATCTCTACAACACGCTCTCTGTCCGGTCTCCAAAAATTTCAATAGCCCTAACCATGATGGTATCTCAGACATTGCAGTTACTGGTATACTCTATACTAGTAACACTGCAGATAGAATCTATATGGAGAACAAATTAATAACGAGATTTGGTACGTTTTCTCCATATGGATTGAACCAAATCCACAATTTTACTTAGCTGCCATGTATTTTCCCTGTTTGGTTTTTACAATTATGTTAAAATCGCTTCCTTTCTACTACTCTTTATTTTGTTTTTGTCTGGTTTTAGCGCCCTCTCCTATATTTGTTTCTGTTTTAGGTAGGATATGTTATATTGATATTATGTAAATTTAATTTATACTTACTTAAATGTGTTTTATTTGTTTGTACTGATGCAGTCATGTGCCGAAACGTTTAATTGTGTATAATGTATAATTATTATTAAAGCGTAACTTATACTGTTCTATTGACACAATTTGTTCGTGTCTTATTAATCTCTCTGATAACCAATGTGTCTGTTTGGTGTCATGCTGTGTCATCGTGTTTTGTTTTGTTACCATATTCGGTGAAAACACACACACACACACTCAATAAAGAGTGCAGACACGTTGACCTAAATGTAGGAACACATCAAGTAAACAGTCGGGGGGGGGGTGATAAGTAAATATATAAATAATCCGAATTGTAAAATCTGAGTTTATTTACACACATATTTAAATGTATAAAAACCAAATGTTTTATTTAGATGAGACATATATTCTTTTCATAGCAGGCAATAGTTTAACAATCTATAAACACATATAATGTAGGTTTTATATCCATTAAATGATTGTTAACAAGATGTGATTTCAAAAAAAAAAAAAATAAGTGCCTAAGGTGTCTGATTGAGTGATTATTTATTGGAATATGGTTGCTGATTTAAATGATAACTTATTTTATGGTGTCTGATTGAATGATTATTTCTTGGATAATGTTGGTGATTTTAATGACAACGTATTGTAGAGTGAATGACAAATCATTATTGCTGGATACGGGATGAGCCTTGAAAAGGGAACTCACTGTTCCAGTCGTCTAACAAGCACGAAATTCGAGTGAAGAGTTGTTGAACCCTACCCATGAAATCTCTTAATCCCGTCTGGGATAAAGGGAGCCTCAAGAAGGACCTCACAGAATCGGACACTATTTGAGACTCTTGGCCGATCTTGGTGAAGTCACGTTTAATGAAAACCAGGGGAGTTCTGCGGAGGACGCATAGAGCTCTGTCCAGAAAGTCGAGACAATTTCTGATCAGAGCCGTCTTCTCGCCAAGATTGAACAACGGCGCTAAAAGATCAAGCAATTCCTTGCCCAACAATGCGGTCTCGACAATGTTTTTGTTCCCGCTTAACAAGTTCTGGACCAGCTGAACTATTTTTTGAATGTTCAAAATGACAACGACGAAACCCGTTGATTTTGGTGCATCAATCGTGTTGAAAGGATTATCCTTGTCTGCGACGCGGCTGTCCACGTATATGGGCGTGGTGGAGCTGACGGTATTGGTGTTATGGCCCTGTTGCCATGAACTACCAGTCGTTTTGTCCATGCCCCCTATACCATTCCTAGAACTAGAAAATGAGCCGTGGCCCTCCACTGTGCTAGTAACGTCGTCCATATTTCCAGTACTTGTTCCCAAACTTCCAGTAGATGTTCCCAAACTTCCAGTACTTATTCCCATATTTCCAGCAGTAGTTCCCATACTTCCAGTAAATGCTCCCGTACTTCCAGTAGATGTTCCCATACTTCCAGTAGATGTTCCCGTACTTCCAGTACTTGTTCCCATACTTCCAGCACTTGTTTCTATACTTCCAGTCGCAGTTCCCATATTTCCAGAAGATGTTCCCATACTTTCAGTATTAGTTCCCATACTTCCAGTATTTGTTCCTAAACTTCCAGTAGATGTTCCCATACTTCCAGTACTTGTTCCTATACTTTCAGTTGTAGTTCCCATACTTCCAATATTAGTTCCAATACTTCCAGTACTTGTTCCCATACTTCCAGTAGATGTTCCCATACTTCCAGTAGATGTTCCCATACTTCCAGTATTAGTTCCAATACTTCCAGTACTTGTCTCTAAACTTCCAGTAGATGTTCCCATACTTCCAGTACTTGTTCGCATACTTCCAGTACTTGTTCCCATACTTCCAGAAGTTGTTCCCTTATTGCCGGTATTTATTCCCATACTTCCAGTACTTGTTCCTATACTTTCAGTTGTAGTTCCCATACTTCCAGTAGATGTTCCCATACTTCCAATATTAGTTCCAATACTTCCAGTACTTGTTCCCATACTTCCAGTACTTGTTCGCATACTTCCAGTAGATGTTCCCATACTTCCAACACTTGTTCCTATACTTTCAGTTGTAGTTTCCATACTTCCAGTAGATGTTCCCATACTTCCAGTAGATGTTCCAATACTTCCAATATTAGTTCCAATACTTCCAGTACTTGTTCCCAAACTTCCAGTGTTAGTTCCCATACTTCCAGCACTTGTTCCTATACTTTCAGTTGTAGTTCCCATACTTCCAGTAGATGTTCCCATACTTCCAGTAGATGTTCCAATACTTCCAATATTAGTTCCAATACTTCCAGTACTTGTTCCCATACTTCCAGTAGATGTTCCCAAACTTCCAGTAGATGTTCCCATACTTCCAGTATTAGTTCCAATACTTCCAGTACTTGTTTCTAAACTTCCAGTAGATGTTCCCATACTTCCAGTACTTGTTCGCATACTTCTAGTAGATGTTCCCATACTTCCAGAAGTTGTTCCCTTATTGCCGGTATTTATTCCCATACTTCCAGTACTTGTTCCCAAACTTCCAGTGTTAGTTCCAATATTTCCAGTACTTATTCCCATACTTCCAGTAGTTATTCCCATACTTCCAGTAGTTATTCGCATACTTCCAGCACTTGTTCCTATACTTTCAGTTGTAGTTCCCATACTTCCAGTAGATGTTCCCATACTTCCAGTAGATGTTCCCATACTTCCAATATTAGTTCCAATACTTCCAGTACTTGTTCCCATACTTCCAGTAGATGTTCCCATACTTCCAATATTAGTTCCAATACTTCCAGTACTTGTTCCCATACTTCCAGTAGATGTTCCCATACTTCCAGTAGATGTTCCCATACTTCCAGTATTAGTTCCCATACTTACAGTAGTAGTTCCCATACTTCCAGCACGTGTTCCCATACTTCCAGTACTTGTTGCCATACTTCCAGTATTCATTCCCATACTTCCAGTATTTATTCCCATATCCCCAGTAGTTGTTCCTGTACTTTCAATTTCATTACTATGATAATCAGCTGTGCCAGCACGGGTCGTTATCATAACATCCTTGTTATGGTCTTTTGTACTCGCGTCATCTGTCCAATAACTGATAAATTTAGTCCAATAGCTGTTCATGTCTTCATCTGTAATTTTATCTGGTTCATCTGTTGACCGAATCCACGGACTGCCTGTCGTTTTCTCATCAGATCCTATATGATTACTGTAAGTGTCTAATCCTTGTATACCAGTAGTTCCAATGTTTCCAGGACTATTGGCACCACTGTCTTCTGTCCACTGATGCACCGTTGTCTCGGCATTGCTGACACCAATACTATAGCCACCTGTTGTCCAAACCCTGTCCATTGTAACTTCATTGGTTACGCCATTGCTGTGTCCATATTTGCCCTTGCCATTTGAACGGCTGCCATCCGTCCAGTAACTATCTGTCGTGACCCTATACTCATCTACCCCAATAGAAGTTATTCCAGCTGACTGACTGTCCGTAGATCCATCTCCACCAAAAACTCCCCCGCTGTGGTCATCAGTAAATCCCGGACTATGTGTTGTCCCCTGTCTATTATCTACGCCATCCACATCGCTTGTCCACTTCTTGTCTGTCGTGAACACACTCCAACCACTTCCTGTAGTTCCCATGTTATCCCCTTCTGGACCGCCACCAATTTCCTGATTTCTTGTTGTCTGCGTAGAATACCCCACGCCGCTTGATTCGGCTGTTTCCCACTGACTCCCTTTCGTATAACCATGGTCACCTGCACCGTTGCTGCTAACATCCTGACGCCATGGGCCACCCGTGGTCTCCCTGCTGCTTAACACGCCACTGGTGGTGGTCGACGTCCATTGACTAGCTTCCAGTTCATCTACAGGGTTATCTTTTCCTCCCTGACCCCCAGTTCTGTCCCCCCCATTTCCACCGTTCACGAACTTGAAAATATCAAGAATGTTATTTTTCCCACCAAACAGAGAACTGACAAGTGAAAGTATCTGCTTGACTTTACCCACAAACTCGGACGCGGTTCTCTCCGGGATCTTGAAGAAAGTGATGATCTGTCTGAAGAATACGGCGTACTGCGCCTCTATGAACACGTCCAGCTGCTCAATAGCTGACTCCGGGTTTCCGGCAAAGATGCATATGGTTATGTCCAGCAGTTTCTGCACGCCTCTGACCACTGGCGAGCAGTCGACGGCGAAGGCCCTGGTGATGATATCAGTGATTTCTTGCAGCCGCTCAGCAATATCTACCAAATAAGAATTCGGCCCGAACGTCGCACTGAGAAATTTTATTAAAACCTGAATGTCTGCGCCGACATGGATGTAAGACTTCTGTGTCTGGGAGATCAATAAACTCGAGAAGGCATTCGAATTATCGACATTTATTGATTGGCTATTGGTATCCCCGTTGTTAGGTTTTGATTTATTCGGCTTTAGACTTTCATCCACGAAAGTGCCGAGAACTGAATTGGCGACGCCTTTGAATTCGTTGACATTGTCCAAATCTTTACCTTGGCCGATGCTTGATCCCATATTCTCCAAAACCTGTTCAAACTGTTGGTGACTTGACCCACGGTCTTCTATGACGACATCCGGTTGTCCATTGCGCACGCCGGAAGATTCAATAAAATCGTGGGCCATCTTAATTCCCCTTTCAATGACGGACACAACAGATTTATCTTTTCCTTCGCCCGAACTCTCGTTGCTCGACTTCCCGACTCCATTTTGCAAAGCGCTTCCTTTCGACTTCATCAAAAGTTGTTCGATTGCCGTTGGGAATTTCAAGGAGTTTAACTTTTGACTCGTTGCTTTTGCCACAGCAGTGACGTTATCCATCGACGTGGCCAACACGGTGGCGTTGTTGATGACGCTGTCAGTGTTGACCGTCAAAGGAACTGAACCTATGGCCAGTGCCAACAACGTTACATAGCTCAGGTGGTAGATGGCATTCATCTGTGGAGGGAAACACACAAATTCTATCATTATTAATATTTTATATTTGTTTATTGGTGGTATTTTTTGCTGCAACAATATGCTGCTAAAAAATTAATTGAACCGTAATTTTAAGAGGTATACAGCGTAACGTACACTCAAAAGATATGACGTTATATTGCTTAAAGAAATTTTTCAGCTGGCTAATTTAGTCAAAGTCTTTGCTTGAATATGTACTTAAACTCAATAAGCTAATACAACCAAATTACTTGGTACATTTTTTTTTCAGTGAACGTTTAAATGAAAGCTTTTAAATAAAAAAAAAAAAAGAAAAAAAGAAGTGATCTAACTACCTGATCTAACTAGCCGTTGCGTAGATTACTTTATTGGCGATGTTTAAAGCGATGCACGGAAAAAAACGAATGCTTCAATGTAGGCAAGCAGCTGCTATATCTATTCTTACTTTACTCAGAAAAAAATATATTAAAAGTTGTAATTAGGAAGAAGTTAACATAGGATTCATAAAATGTGTAATTATTATTTGAAAAGTATCAGAGAATACTATTGATTGATTGATTACTCCTATAGCACTTGTGTCCATGATATTCCAGCACTGTTCACTGTCTGTACCATTAACTGGTGACTAGTTACCTCAAGGCTGTTCGCTATTCTCTCTCTATAACAATATCAAATTAATGTTTAAAATGTGTTAAATTTATTTACACTACCGTATTCAGCTATTTATCATCTCGATATAATTATTTTAAAATCGATTTATTGTCTAGAAATCTAAATGGCTAAACAAAAAGCTATCACTCGACACGTCAAAAAATTATTTCTACGTGGTTATCTTCTTCAAGCGTTCACATACCTTGTTCAACTCTAGCCTTATCACAGCTTGAACGCAGTCTTTCATTTATTATCAGCCACTAAAACATTTTGATTACCCGCCATTTGCTTACGTTCTTGTTAAATTGAAGTCCCCCCCCCCCTTATAAAACTAGATGAGTTGACTGAGATGACTGCGTTACAATGAAGGGTCCATCTTAACTCACCCTGCGATAATTCAACTTACCGCGTGTGATTTCATAACACTGTAACTTAACTCACCCTGCAATAATTCAAATTACCGTGAATGATTGTGATGAGACTGCAACTTAATTCACCCTGCAATAATTCACTTACTGTGAGTGATTGTGATGAGATCGCGTCTTACAGAAACATGATGGTCAACTCACAACAGCTCTGTCGTCCGGCACCTACGAGTGAGTGAGCTGTTCTGACGCTAAACGTTTTTGGACTGGACCCGCCCTGTCATTACGCCATCAACCCTTTTTCTACCCCTCGCTTGTTGACAAAATTAATGTGATTTGAAGCCAACCCTAAATCCATTTCAAAATTTGAACGCTTTTTTGTTTGTTCTTTGTTTAATTGCTTTGGCATCTCGCGATCAAACAGCCCCCCTCCCCTGCCCCAACCCCCCCTCCCCTCTTACAGTGTTACATTCGTAATAAACGGATCGATCAAATTTGATACACTTCAAGCCCCACCAAATGACATATAGAGTGAGCTAACATATCTACCCGGCTCCCCAACTGCTCCCCCATGCACCCCACCCTCACCAGTAGATGGAATCGAACACATTTTTTCGTTTACGTCTGTCGGACAATCACGTTGAATTTCTTCCATTCTCCTCATTGCAGACTTTTGTAAATTTACCTGTATGTAACTAAACATTGTACGGTGGGTTTTCCCACGCTCGTGTGTGTGCGTTTGGGGGGTGGGGTGCGGGTGGGGAGATGTGGGGAGGTATCGTTGGCATTCTCCATCCAGGTCATTACCTAACCGACAGACGGGTGGAAGTTTCAAACGACTCATACCAGATCGCGACAATACTGAACGTGGAGATAAAATGTGAGCTTGCGTGAGGTGAGAGGGGGGGGGGTGTGTTAGTGTTTATACAAAAATATATCCTTCTCTATCCTATCAAAGCCTACAAACTTCACAGAAAAAGGGGTTTCTTATAGTGAATTAAAAGATGAATTATAATTTTAAATGTCAATTTTACCCCGTTTCTTGCAGCCTTCAGCCTGCAGCTGATGGTTTAAGCTTTGAGTTCTTTCTCGCTTTGCTCCCAGCGGCGTGGAAAAAGGGGTGGAGGATGCCGTCCGCCCTGGGGACACTTTCTTCTCTTTATATGAAAAAGGGGGGGGGGGGCATTTTCGGCCGTCTGAATAATTTTTTAAGGGGACGGCAAAAAATGTTGCACAAACCCCTAGCTACGCCCGTGCTTGCTCACACATTGTCGATTGAGTGGCGCCAATATGATTTGTTGCGCCGCCCCCCCCCATGCCACGAGTCCAATCACATAAATGATTACGGAAATAAGCTGGTCCCTAATCCGAGTAAGGGCGGCGACAGACAGGGCTGTGACCTCTGGGCATTAGAGCAGCGGATCATCGAGCTAACTACCAAATAAAATACAAACCAGAAGACTCAAAATCTTAATCACATTATTTTTTTTAAAAAGTTCATCAGAGAAAAAAACACAATGATCTGATCGATTACCGCCTGGTTTCGTCTCAAACAGTTTTGTTTTTTTAGGCAAATTATTATCATCACGAAATAAATTATGTTTATAGTATTTATTTAACCCTTTAGATTTCTTTTTACCGAGTCAAGATGTTCAATAATTTACTTATTAACTGCAATAATATATATATATATATGTATATATATATATATATATATATATATATATATAATATATATAATCTGCTGCATTGGGCAACAGCTGGTCTCCAAAATTCACCGCCCAGGCTAAGTAGCTATAATAACGACGCCTTTTTTAGATTTCTTTTTACCGAGACAAGATGTTCAATAATTTACTTATTAAATACAATAATATATATATATATATGTATATATATATATATATATATATATATATATATATAATATATATAATCTGCTGCATTGGGCAACAGCTGGTCTCCAAAATTCACCGCCCAGGCTAAGTAGCTATAATAACGACGCCTTCGCTGGTTAGGTCATGTACGGAGAATGGAGGAAGAGGACGTATCCCAGAGATTCTGCTGTATGGAGAGTTGGCAGAGGGGACAAGATATATTGGACGACCGCGCCTGAGATTTATTGACCTTTGCAAACGAAGCATGAGGGAAGCCAATATTGAAATAAACGAATGGGAGTCCATTGCCGAACATCGCTCCAACTGGCGTACATCAGTGTTTGGAGGAGTGAGAATCGCAGAAGTTACTCGAAACGAGGCCCTCGAATCAAAAAGAACAATTCGAAAATCAAGAATTTATCGGGTTTCAACATTCTCGCGTAGATGGAAGGATGCCATAATATATATATATATTATGTAATGTTTTAATTTGTTCTAAATTTTTTATTGCCATCTTTGTAAGAAAAAAAAATCCAGTTACTCAAAAATTGCGCACGTTATGAAACAGATCAAAGCAAGGCGTTGTAGAAGATACTTCCCCGTGCAGCAGCATATGATCGTGACGATGCAAGGAAGTTTACAATGAAACAACTTTTGAGCGAAGCATCGACTGCTCAAAGAGAGACAATCAGTTAATAATGCGGATATAGCCATGTGCCGAAAGCATAGTTTAAATTCATCAAAAGTTAAAGTACAAACAACGGTGTTAAAACCAAGGAATTAAAACAACTCTAATAAAACAGCTCTAATAAAACAGCTCTAATAAAACAGCTCTAATAAAACAGCTCTAATATCTGTGGTATGTGAACATGCATCTGTCAAATGTGAATCAAAGTAATTTGGACGCAACCATAAACATAATAAAGGCTCGAGTCCTGCAGGAACGCACAGGAACGGCGTTTCTGTACATTTTCTACACTTTCTAAAAAGAAAATACACATTTTTTTTGGATGTGTTGTGGAGGAAGGGGTGGGGGTGGGGGGATCTTGGCTGAGTTCTCAGACTTTTTTTCCGGGACTAGACCTTCTGATGCAGCAATAGTTAATTTAAGTAAAATATAGTTATGAGGAGGTCAATTATTACGCACTTTTTAGGACAATTATGATGAGGTCATTTATTACGGACTTTTTCGGACAAGTATGTTGATGTTAATTATTACGGAATATTCGGACAAGTATGATTAGGTCAATTATTATGACATCTTCGGACAAGTATGTTCATGTCAATTATTACGGACCTTTTTAGGACAATTATGATGAGGTCATTTATTACGGACTTTTTCGGACAAGTATGTTGATGTTAATTATTACGGAATATTCGGACAAGTATGATTAGGTCAATTATTATGACATCTTCGGACAAGTATGTTCATGTCAATTATTACGGACCTTTTTAGGACAATTATGATGAGGTCATTTATTACGGACTTTTTCGGACAAGTATGTTGATGTTAATTATTACGGAATATTCGGACAAGTATGATTAGGTCAATTATTATGACATCTTCGGACAAGTATGTTCATGTCAATTATTACGGACCTTTTTTGGACAAGTATGTGGAGGTCAATTATTACGGACTTTTTCGGACAAGCATGTGTATGTCGATTACTACGGACTGTCTGTAACTTTATGGACGGTTGAAAACCATGCGGTTCGTGTGGTAGCAGTTCAGTGTTGTAGCAGTTCAGTGTGGTAGCAGTTCAGTGTGGTAGCAGTTCAGTGTGGTAGCAATTCAGTGTGGTAGCAGTTCAGTGTGGTAGCAGTTCAGTGTGGTAGCAGTTCAGTGTGGTAGCAGTTCAGTGTGGTAGCAGTTCAGTGTGGTAGCAGTTCCGTGTGGTCACATCTTTAGAATAGGAGAGTTGTCTTACTTGAGAAATTTTGTTAGGCTCAGTTGTAACCGGAGTGTCACGGGTATTTTAATGTTTCGATGTACCACGGTACAGGTGACGTATTAGTATGTAAGCTCCTGGAAGTGCTCTTCTGATGCGACATTTTGTTGTGGTGAGCAATGTTCCCTCTAAGGTTAGTTGGTTCATGTGCAAAATCATACAGTTTTTTGCAAATTTTTACAGCATCAATTTTTTGTGTGCAAAATTTTACAGTCCACAAACACAAACTCACGCTTAGAAGGAAATTTGCTGCGCGGAGACTCCAAACTGCTGCGCGGTGTCTGTGCGCAGCTTAAAGGGAACATTGGTGGTAAGCCAATGGTAGAATTCTAATTTTTACCATGCATCGCCATTTGTACGTTCATAATATACATTTTTGTTGTTGTTTTATTTTAATGATTTGCATTTGAAATGTCTTTTAAAAAATGTGTGTTTTGGTAAGAACTCATCTTGAATATTTCACTTATTTATGTTTGAACATTATTTAATTTGCGCAGTTACGTAAGAAATTGTTTTTTGTTTTTTTTTTAAGTAGGGTTTACAAAAAACCCATCTCTTGCTGCCCTCTCGGATACTACATTTCAGCAAAATATTATTTTTTTAAAGTTTATTTCTTCTTTTTTTTCTGCTGCTGGTGTTTGTTCGCTGACGAAGACCTTTTGCCGACACGTTCGTTGTTTTGTTTTTTTCTCTTTTTTCCATGTTTCCCTTGTATCGCTTACTCATTGCAGTCTCCCCCCCCCCCCTAAATTTCCATTTAAAAAAAAAACACCTGACCTGCCAATGTCAATGTTTGTTGCTCTACTGGTACAACATGTTGTGTATGTCCACACGAAATCATGCTGCATCAGGCCACACCGGATGACTAGAGTGTCGTACCGTGCGTGTTTACGGGAATGTCACACGTTGTTGTTAATCCCCTTTGTAGCAAGGCGTGCAAAGATCTATTTATAGAAACGGCGTGTTTGGTAAAGTGCTTATGGATTTGTCGTTTTTATTTGCATTAGGCTGTGAGGTGAATTAATTAAAAACTTTAAACATTTCAGGCACATTCCAAACTTGTTGATTTTAATAAGTATTTTTGTTCAACAAATATAATCCTATTCTATATATTAAAAGTAATTGAATCATTATTTTATTAATTTTCCCCAAATTAATCTGAATTTAAATACTGTAGTAAAATTAGTCCATTCAAAGTCATGATGTATTATTATTGGTGTTAACTAGATAATATTTAGACTATGTTTATTTGACTTTTTATTACAATTTCTTTTTTAAATACAGGCTTGGGCTTACATTTTTAAAAGTCTAGACGATCTGGAAATAAGATCCCCCCCCCAATATAAAAAGCTTAATTTTTATAAGTCTTAAAGTGTCTTAAAATATTTATAATAAGAAAAAATATAGGTAGCGGGCCTATTAGCTTAAGCCTATATTTTATCGAGGTGGCTATTCGTACCTGGGTACCAGAGGTGAGTGTTTGGGATTTAAAAACCTATTTAAAATTTTATTGTTGGATTTGTAAGACAAAATGAGGTTTCAAATGAAAGATAATTGAATGGACTGTATGTTTGTAAACTTACTTCTTCAGTTTAACTAAAATAAACTACCACCAATGACATCCGAATAGCACCGAGTCAAAATGGACCCCGACACGCAGCGCCGCCATTCGCATCCGAAGTGAAGTAAAGGTAGAAAATGATCAAAGCTATACTGATGACGCGCGACTTTGCTTAATTATTCAAAATTTTGATGCACGATGTTATTTACCGAGGTCAACTAAACTCTTCTGCAAGTAGCAGATCGCAAATTTTTGCGACAATTTACGACCTGCGTGGAACAATGCGGGAACGAATTGTGAAAACATTACTTTATTGATCCAAATACACCGAAAAATTGTTGATTACATTTTACATATTTATTTTCATCACATAGATGGATATCCTTATGAAGACACCATTTTAAAACTAGAACGAGACTTCTATTTCTCAAGTGAAAATATCAGCCATCGTGTAAAAAAAAAAAAAAAAAAAAAAAAAAAAAGAACTGATTCTCTTAGTGGCGATATTGTCTTTGGAAATAATAATTTAGATTTAGTAACCGCTTGGTGAGCAAGCTCTTAAATTCATTAGAAAATAATGTGCAACTATAACTTTGCTTAACACAACGATCAATGGTCAACTCGTTTATAAATTGGATATCCTTATGAAAACACCATTTTAAAACAAAAAAGAAACTTCTATTTTTCAAGTGAAAATATCAGCCATAGTGAAAAAAAAAAAAAAAAAAAAAAAAAAAGAACTGATTCTCTTAGTGGCGATATTGTCTTTGGAAATAATAATTTAGATTTAGTAACCGCTGGGTGAGCAAGCTCTTAAATTCATTAGAAAATAATGTGCAACTATAACTTTGCTTAACACAACGATCAATGGTCAACTCGTTTATAAACCTTTATTTTTCGTATAAAATTGATTACAAAACAACAATTTTCAACTTCTTTTCAGAATAGTTTAACATAGTTCTTAGTTTTGTTGTAGCTGCTAACCAACTATTAGTCCAGCCTCATCAAAGGAGTAAAAATACACAGTACTGTTTTTACCCTCGGCTACAATGTAGAAACCCTTTCCGTCGCTTGACCACGCTATACCCTCACTGTCCTTGACCCTTTGGTACGTGCTGACCTCTACGGGTATGTTGTCTTGGACTGACTTGATGTAGTCGTTGTTTGTGACGCTGGGTGGAAAAGATGAGAGCATTAATATGCCAGATGGAATAACTAAGTCTTACCACAGCATTAATATGCCAGATGAAATAACTAAGTCTCACCACAGCATTAATATGCCAGTCGAAGTACCTAAGTCTTAATACTGCATTAATATGCCAGGTGAAATAACGAAGTCTTAATACTGCATTAATATGCCAGGTGAAATAACGAAGTCTCACCACAGCATTCATATGCCAGGTGGAATAACTAGTCTTACCACAGCATTAATATGCCAGGTGGAATAACTAAGTCTTACCACTGCATTAATATGCCAGGTGAAGCACCTAAGTCTTACCACAACATTAATATGCCAGGTGAAGCACCCAGGTTTTACCAAAACACTGTCAAGATTTAACAAATGATTTGTTTTCCAGACAGAAGGTGGACCTTAAGCCGTAACATTTCTTTAAATGGGGACATTCTACACACAAAAAATCCCCTAGAATACCTGAGATAATAAATGCCGTGTTCCCCAATCAGTATCACGATCCCCTAGAATACCTGAGATAAAAAATGCCACGTTCCCCAATCAGTATCACGATCCCATAGACATACCTGAGATAAAAAATGCCATGTTCCCCAATCAGTATCACGATCCCCTAGAATACCTGAGATAAAAAATGCCATGTTCCCCAATCAGTATCACGATCCCCTAGAATACCTGAGATAAAAAATGCCATGTTCCCCAATCAGTATCACGATCCCCTAGAATACCTGAGATAAAAAATGCCATGTTCCCCAATCAGTATCACGATCCCCTAGAATACCTGAGATAAAAAATGCCATGTTCCCCAATCAGTATCACGATCCCCTAGAATACCTGAGATAATAAATGCCATGTTCCCCAATCAGTATCACGTTCTTTCCATCCGGTGAGATGTCGCCCCCTTGGGGATCATTGCTGTTTGTGTTGATCTTGAGAACCGCCGTTTTACTCATATCAAGCAACGTGACGCTGGAAAGAGCAATATCATATTTCTTTTTTTAACTACAAATTCCAAATTTGTAGAATCGTAAGGCACGCATTCATAGATTGTTCTTTTGAGTCCCAAAATGTTATGGTCCACAGATCTACTCATCGCATAATGACCAAACATTTGTGTGTGTGTGTGTGTACCTATCTCTGTTCCAAGCAGCAGCGGGGATCTCAGCAACCTTAGCTTGACCACCGTCCACCTTGGACATTATGAAAAGCTGCCCACTCGGTGACATCATAAGGGTCTCTGCGTCCACTTCTGTCCAGCTATTGTAGAGAAAATGAAATAATCTTTCACTAATGGCATTTAAAGAGGGATTGTTTTCTTGTTGTTGTGTTTTTTTGTTTTTTTAAATGATTGTTTAACACAGAGCGTCCCCTACAAGAGCTCAGCTTTTTATTTTAATTAATGTAAAAAGTTACCCGAATTAACACACTGCTTTTTTTTCATTGCTAACATAACGTTATTTAATGGCATAAATCGAACAAAGTAACATAACTTTATTTTAAAATGTGACAATGCAGAATTGTCATCGATACTCCACTACGATAAAATGTCGTGTGGGTTCCTATGGACGCTGTGGAGACGTAGGCCTAAAGTCGTCATGGGATTGAGTATCATAAGAAATGGTATGGTTCAGGGGTATACTCGCCGCATAATGACATATAATGTACACGGGATTCGTGGAAAAAAAATACGGGTTACTTCTGTCACTGGTACTGGAAGTACCCGTCCCCCTTGAGCCAGTAAGCGTTTGACCAACCAATGACCGATTTTTGGGTTTCAAAATATCGCGCCGATTGAAATGTTGGACGTTGTCACACAGTGACAGAGTTGAGTGTTGGCTTCCAAACAAGGAAATGAGCGGGCAACTTTAAAAAAATGGAGCGCTTACACACTCACCTACACGCACACACACAAACATACACGCACGCACACAAACACACACAATCTTTTAAGGGACAGGGGAGAAACTCTCTGGCCAGACGCCAGCAACCAATTTTATGTCGTCATCAAAAGTTCCACAATAAGGTCAGACATTGAACCATGAATGAGACCATTTAGTGTCGTGCTATCTTTTATTGTTTCCATACAGTTATTTCAGTTAAACGCATTTTAAAAAAAAAAATGTTAAAACATTTTATCCGTATTTTATCGGAAGGGAAGCATTTGTTTATAATTTTAAGTAGATCTTTTCCAAACGGTGGCAACATCGGGAAGTTGGTTGAAACAATTTTATTTCTATCCCCATGAAAAAGGTTCTAAATTTTCTTTGAAATGGATAAAGGTGGTCATGTATCATGGTTATGTCAATGTATCACGGTTATGTTAGGAACTATTTCCTGTGGCGATCGATAAACTGGGCCCCCCGATATACCTGGAAAATCCCCGGTGGGACGCCAGGGTTCTTACTATTTTGGCCACCTGTGCTAACTCTACATTACAATACAACGTGCGTATTAAGTCTCTACTTTAAGATATTTTTTTTTGTCTGAGCTGCTTTGACACCCCAGCACTGCTGATTAGACGCCCCACCACTACCACATGGACACACTAGCACTGCTGAATTGAAGCCCCACCACTACCACTTGGACACCCAATCACTGCCGCTTGGACACCCTACCACTGCCACTTTTGACGCTCCCCACTGCCGCTTGGACGCCCCAGCACTGCCGTTTGGACCCCCCACTACTGCTACTTGAACAGCCTAACACTGCCGCTTTTGATGCCCCACAAGTGTCGCCCCATCACTGCCGCTTGGATTACTCATTACTGCCGCTTGGGCCCCCACAACTGCTACTTTAACACCCCACCACTGCCTATGAGCAATGTTCCCTTTAAGCTGCGTGGCTGCCCGGTCGCGCAGTAATCTCACAAGCAGGTGAGACGCCGCGCAGCAGTTTTGAGTACCGCGCAGCTAATATCCACTTAAGTGTGTGTTTGTGTCTGTAGGCTGTAAAATTTTGCGCAGAAAAAAAATTGATGCTGTAAAAATGTGCACACAACTTTATGATTTTGCACACGAACCAACAAACCTTAGAGGGAACATTGCCTATGACCCCGGGGGAAAAAATAGCTTTAAACTGTGGACGAGCCTTTTTCTCAGCATCCACAAATAAGGACTTCACCCGAAGGTTGATCATAAAATGACATGCTACAATGCTAACAAACATCAGCGGGACCTACCTGAACCTGAGCACTCCCACCAAGTCAACACGAGCGTCCTGCAAGGCGAAGGGCTCCCTGATGGCGTAGATGATGTTGGCGGCGTCCTGAGCAGCGTGGTCCCCGGTGTCGGCTACGTAAATACAATACCTGGACGGTGGCGTCTGCGCGCTTGTGGACATTTAGGTCAAACAACGCATGTCAATCAATTTAGTACAAAAATACTAATCTATTTCTTGATTCACTGATGGGCATATAAATACAAAATAAAGTAGCATTTTAATATGACTTTCACTTTGTACAATAACATGCAATGGTATCAATTGTGATTATGAGGGCTAATAACAAGTTTATACGAGTTCAACTTACAACTAAATGGGGTGTCTAGCATAATACTATGTCACCAGTGAGCTCAATATACAACTGTATGTGAGTATAACTAACATAACACTATGTCCCCAGTGAGCTCAAAAGATAATTGTATGCGATTATAAGTCAGTATAACATACATCTATATATGAATGCAAAACAGAAATTTATGTTTGTTCGAATGTATATAGGAACCAGTTTTAAATTATAACGACATATAAATCACATTATAAGAACATATGAAGTCAGTTGTAACAACATATGAAGTCAGTTGTAACAATATATGAAGTCAGTTGTAACAACATATGAAGTCAGTTGTAACAACATATGAAGTCAGTTCTAACTACATATGAAATCAGTTGTAACAACATATGAAGTCAGTTCTAACTACATATGAAATCAGTTCTAACAACATATGAAGTCAGTTCTAACTACATATGAAATCAGTTCTAACAACATATGAAGTCAGTTCTAACTAGATATGCAATCAGTTCTAACAACATTTCAAATCAGTTGTAACAATAATATTAAGTCAGTTGTGACAACATATGAAATCAGTTCCAACAACATATGAAGTCAGTTCTAAGTGCATATGCAGTCAGCTCTGGCAACATATGGCGCACTTCCCGTACAACCAACAAAGCACGTCACAAGAACATAGGAAATACATTCTAGCAAAATACGTAGCCCTGAGTACACCTACGTCATGGCGCCACCTCCCCCCCCCCCCCACATAGACCAAACCGTTCCCGCCCATGACGTCAGCCCGTTCCTCTCTATCTATTTTAAAATTGACATATTTAACATTTCCTAATTGTAAATGTCTACAGACACAAGGAAAATAACAGCTGTGTAAAGGCTCTCCTGCCAGTTGAACTATCCAGAGTTGGAATTGTTTGAACTATCCAGAGTTGGAATTGTTGACATTTGATCTTCTAACGGCGAGAGAGTTCTTAGTCCTTTTTTTTGGTTTTTTCGCGAGTCTTCTAAAGTTCATTGGTGGACAGCCCATATACATTTTTGGTGAACTCATAGTCAGACCTTACTGTTCTTTGCTCGACATAAAGCAATATATATATACAGTGCTTCTTTCAGACATTTACCCCGGGGGGTGGGGGGATTTAAGATTTCGGTGGGGGGGGGGCAGGGCCAGTGACCAGAGGCGTAGCCAAGGGTTAGCAGATATGACATTCGTCTCGGGCCGCAGGACAAGAGGGGGTAACAAAATGGGCTTTGATATTATTAATAAAAAAAATAATAGTTTCAGAGTTTTAGCGTGGGGGGAGCATAAAAATAAATAAAATTTTGCTTTAATTTGCATACATAATCTATGATATAAATAAAAGCAAGAATAAGATCATAAAGGTAAACTCAGTCAACCAAGAGGACATCTCTCTGGCAGGATATGCACTGGAAGAAGTAGAAGCTTTCACGTACTTAGGCAGCACCATTGACTTAAATGGTTGGATCCGAAGCGGATGCCAGGACTGGAATGGGTAAGGATAGGTCAGCATCTTTGGTATTAGTGTTAAAGAAAATATGGGAGTCAAATGAGCAGATTCTTCAAACCAAAGTCAGAATTTTCAACACATGTGTCGAAACAGTCCTAGTCTATGGAGCCGAAAATAGGAGAACAACAGCGAGCACTACCGACAGATGCCTGAAAGAAACCCCGTACACACACACACACACACACACACACACATATATATATATATAAATTATTATTATAAAAAGAAAAGATGACAAATCAAAAAGTGTCGTTTCTCACCTACAAACACTGGCGTTACAATCATCAAAACAAGGGCCGTAAGTCAAGTCCTCCCAGTCCCAGTTTGTGGCATTGTTGATGACAATGGTGGCCACCTGTGAACGGAAACATGGGTCACGTGACGGCTATTTAATTGAGCAGTGAATGAGTGTGAACATCACTGATATTAAATTATTATTTTTTTGTTAACCATTGACGTGTAATAACCGTTTAGGGCCAATCAGTAGCTATTCTACACGTACACTTATTTCAAGTGTACGCCAAGCTCTGAATATCCGTTACTGAAGTTTTTTCACAAGATTCAAACAATTTAGCAAGCGTTCGACGCCCTTATGACTATTTTAAATACTAAAAGACATAGAGAATAAATATCTTTTTTTTTTTTTCATCAGCAAAACATGGAAAAAAGGTTTTATTCCAAGAAAGAGACATACAAAATAAATGTTAACATATTAAATAACACCTCACAAACATATAAAACTAGTGTTTACGGTTTTAAAAAAAAATTATTTACAAAACTGTTCGCCAAAAAAAATAATGAATGGTTGGCTCGAACTCTTGCAAGCTGGATGAATACCACAAACCCCTTGGCCTTGGTTTTTTCCCCCATCATATCATTTTTTTTAAAACTCAAAATATGTAACCAAAAAATTTAAAGGGGTTGAATAAACTAACGTCTACTGATTACCATATTTCGAGCAGTAAGAGCAACTTACCGTAGCTCCGGTAATAATATCAAAGGCGTATATCTCGTTAAGTCCACCTTTATCGTTGTGGGTGTAGCCGACGTTCTGGTGAACTCTGCTGACGGCGAGACCGGAAGCCTCGGTGATTCTCGCATCGGTCAACTGACCTCTGGTTTCCCTCGGACCAAAACTCACTCCTAGATTTTGAGATAAATGCTTTATAGTATCAGCTTTATGTCTTCGACACAACCTCATGAAAACAGACAAATACAATTCATGCTCTAGATTCTAGATAATAATGACATATATAGGAGATCTTGACAGAGAAAGAACAATGACGCTAAACGGAATTCACTGGTGATGGTACACCTAAACATTGATGCATTAAAAGCATTGCAGAATGGCATCTGAACATAAAGACAAAGAAGAAGAAAAAAACACATCAACAAAATACCCATTTTAAAATGTTACAGTTTTTTTATTTTTTTTGTCAAGGTACAGGAAAAGTCCTAATTCAGGACCTAAAAAAACTCCAATAATGCCATTGTTATAAAATATCCAAGAAACCATTGAAGAAATCATCAAACTGATTACTTTTTAAAATGCTCCGATATTGAACTTTACTTTTATAACTTTAATCAATATATGACGGTCAGGGGCTAATATAACAACTAAGATGAACAAGTTTATTCCCCTGTAAGCGATACAGAGGCACACATTTTAGATATTATGTATATTTAGATTAAGATGGTAGATAGACAGACAGGCGGACGGACGGACAGACAGACAGACAGACAGACAGACAGACAGACAGACAGACAGACAGACAGACAGACAGACAGACAGACAGATATCACGCACGCATCTTTCCACTCCCTACGATGAACAATGCAATTACCTGACGCTAATTGAAGCACTACAAACAAGTACCATGCACACATCGGTAGCAGATCTCTGGATGGAAGGGGCATTCTGCAGGTTTAGTGAATAGCAAAGCAACAAGCGCGTCTCTAACACGATATACGTCGAGGTGTTCTGTTTTATAGATATAAAGGGACCATCAGTGAAGCTGCTTTGGGCTGTTCTTGCTCTCCCTCCCCTCACCCCACCTTTGTTAATTAAAATAATAATAATATTAAAAAAAAGTTTTAAAGTTTTATCTCGTTGACAAAGTTCAAGATAAATATGGAAGCCAGTAATGAGAAACGTGTAACCTTGTAGAGTTTGATTGGAAACTCTTAGCCTGGAGAGCCGTGCTGCTATCTTAGCGTTTCATTTCAGGTCACGGGGTGCATTCTGGGACAGCGTCACGAGTCTGTAACATAGGCGGAGTCAAGGAGTCAATCGAACAAGGTTATAGGGTTCACGTGAAAAATACCTCATGAGTAACGGGGGGTGGGGGGTGGGGGGCAGGGCTTTAAGTACGTCGGCTCAATGGTTGAGTACTATGGCAACATATTAATGCTACACACGGCTCAATGGTTGAGTACTATGGCAACATATTAATGCTACACACGGCTCAATGGTTGAGTACTATGGCAACATATTAATGCTACACACGGCTCAATGGTCGAGTACTATGGCAACATATTAATGCTACACACACATTTAAGAAGGTTTCTGGGTGCACGCCTTCTGAAACAAGAGGGGACAATTTTAGCAATATTTATCAATAATATTAAATTCAAAACAAACACACGGGTGAGCTGATGTGGTCAATGGGTTAATTGAAATGGTGTGTTACAATAGCATCTGGGGACATCAAGATCGACAATTATATATTTTGTATGTATATACATATAAATAAATATATATTTATAAATATATATATATATATATATCTATATATATATACATATATATATATATATATATATATAGAGAGAGAGAGAGACAGAGAGAGAGACAGAGAGGGGGGACTGAAAGGGAAAGATAGGGAAATAAAGAGAGAGAGAGAGATAGAGAGAGAGAGAGAAAGGTTTTACGATTATGGCCAACACTGTCGATGTCACTTATGTTTGACCAGGAGATAAGATTAACTTATCTCTAGACATGATGTCTTATTGTTTTTCCCTAATGACCAATAAGACCCAAAAAAATTTTTTTAAATTCATTTTAATGTAGGTGACAAGTATTGTGGAGTAGGTCATGAGCCACCAGACGTGGTACGGGACCCCCTAATAGATGACGAAAAGTGCGGGTTACAAATTCAGGACCACAAATACGAGCCCTCTTAGACATGGCTCCCTAAATCACGACCCTCTAATACAGCGGCTTTCAACCTGTGGGTCGCGAGTCGTGACCATTTTTTGATTCGAAAGACCCTTACACAGGGGTAGCCTAAGCCCATCGAAAAACGCATATTATGAAGTAGCAAAAAATTATTGTATGGTTGGGGGTCGCCACAACACAAGGAACTGTATCGTAAAGGTTTTCCCCTACCACCTGGGGGTGCGAGATGGGGGGGGGGAGTCAGGGCGTTTAGGGGAGAACCAGTAAATCGGGTTTACATGTATTTTTATATTGTGGGAGTTGTGGGAAATATGTCTTGAACCCTAAAGAAAATTTCTCTAGATGTTTAGAGCACAAGAGAGTTTGCGAAATAGGGAAAACGTTATCAAGGGAAAATCAATTCAATATTTAATGCAGTCGAGTTGGGACCCTGGATCAAATCCTTTCGAATTCGAAAGAAAAATTAGGCTGATTTTATCAGCTATCATAAAACTTACGGGCTGGTAACATCAATTCAGCTTTCACGGTGGTTCGTTTACATCATCATTTCAGTCGGTTAGTCAGTAGACCATGGTATCACTAAGCCACTGGGTCAAGTCGCAAAAGACAAGAGAAAAGTGGCTGCTGGGTAAATTATATCTTCTCTTTTAAGAGTTATAAAAAAAATATTTTTTAATGTCCATTATTGTTAACATGACACCATTTAATGTCCATTATTGTTAACATGACACCATTAAATGTCCATTATTGTTAACATGACACCATTAAATGTCTATAATTGTTAATATGACACCATTTAATGTCCAAAACTGTTAACATGACACCATTTAATGTCCATAATTGTTAACATGACACCATTTACTGTTTATATTTTTTATTTGCTTCTTATTTTTTGTTGATTTTCTGTGATATAATCGTTCGTTTGTTATTCATTATTTTAACACGATTCAAGTAATAAAGAATAGTTGTGAATGTTTTAGAAGTCATAAGGCTGAAGTATAGACTGATATTTTAAAACCTCACTCATAGTGCTTACAATTGCTTGAATATTCACAATAATAAGGTACCTATTTTCCACAAGAGATGTGTATTTAAATCTACATGCTCCCCACAAGATATGCGTCTTTAAATCTACAAACTCTCATAAGATTTGTGTATTTAAATCTACAAACTCCCCACAAGATATGTCCATAAATCTACATACTCCCCACAAGATATGTGACTTTAAATCTACAAACTCCCCACAAGATATGTGTCTTTAAATCTACAAACTCCCATAAGATATGTGTATTAAATCTAAATACTCCCCACAAGATATGTCAGTGTGTATTTAAATCTACAAACTCCCCACAAGATATGTCCATAAATCTACAAACTCCCCACAAGATATGTGTCTTTACATCTACATACACCCCACAATATATGCGTCTTTTAATCTACATACTCTTTATTGAATGTGCCAAGAGTGAAAAGTGCTTGCTGAGCTCTGCTCTGAAAAATATCTTTCGGAGTAATTGTTGGCGCCATAATATCATATCTCATAGATCCTATTTCAGTTTCAGCTACCGACTTTCGTTTTCCCATGTTTAGTTTAGTGCTTCATCAACTGTTAAACATTACAATGCAACTCTTGGTAGAATGAGTCTCTGTGAGACCTGTTCAAACAACAACCCGCCCTTTAAGAAATGATCAAGAGACCATCAAACTAGTCTATGGATAGTTTTGTGTCCTCCATTGAAATTGAAACCCTACACATGTCCTAGAGCTAGAGTTTAAACACAGCCGTCACGCGAAGACACATTGCGACAACGGGTCCCGAATGACGTATCGGATTTACCCGATTTTAGGACGTTTCTTTCTGAAGCTATTAATAAATTATTCGTTTCTAAGAATCGATCGAAGTGTTGATGATAGTCAATATATCACATTGTTTAGTAAAATTGATTAGGATTTGCAATACAGTGACGCAGAAATAGCCGAGTATTTTTTGTATGATATATTCAAAGATGGTAAAGAAGGGCAATGTACATAATATGCATAGCACGCATAGAGAACGATGTACATATGAAAAACTCGCTGTACCACCAGCAAAGTTTTAATTTATAATAATTTCATGATTATATAATTTTGAAGTATAACACAGACAACGTAGATGTATGTAATACAACAACTTGGCGATATCTGGTAAACATAAATCATATTACAAAATAAAACTATGCGCTATGCATATCATGTCAAAATAAAACTATGCGCTATGCATATCATGTCAAAATAAAACTATGCGCTATGCATATCATGTCAAAATAAAACTATGCGCTATGCATATCATGTCAAAATAAAACTATGCGCTATGCATATCATGTCAAAATAAAACTATGCGCTATGCATATCATGTCAAAATAAAACTATGCGCTATGCATATCATGTCAAAATAAAACTATGCGCTATGCATATCATGTCAAAATAAAAACAATCAACCCTTTAAAAACGAATTGTTCGTATGGATCATTTCTATCATTTATTTTACATTGATGTAACCTGACGTGTGACACAAATGCTGAAACCTTGCGCATAATCTCTTTGCAGATGACAACACTTTCTATCAGCTGAAAAACGCCCCCCCCCCACACCACCTTCAACCCCCAAATAAAAGATTTTTCCTGTTTTGTTTTTTTTAATTTGGGGGGGGGGGATGTTAATGATTAGTTCAATGGGGGCGGGTTTTGGTGTGGAGATTAACTGTGCATGCTGTTGTTTATGTGTCACACAAGTGACACAAATGCCCATATTGACATACTTGAGTGACACAAAGGCCCATATTGACACAAACGAGTGACACAAAATTACATATTGACACACGAGTGACACAAAGGTCCATATTGACACACATGAGTGACAGAAAGGTCCATGTTGACATGCATGAGTGACACAAATGTCCATATTGACAACCATGAGTGACAGGAAGGTCCATATTGACACGTGATTGACACAAAGTTCCATATTGACACACTTGAGTGACACAAAGGTCCATATTGACACACTTGAGTGACACAAAGGTCCATATTGACATGCATGAGTGACACAAAGGCTTACGTCGCCTTCACAGAGTGACAATGGAGAAAATAAAACCGATCTTAAAAACTTGGAACAGAAACTGAAAATGGAAGTCCGTATCAAAGAGCTGAGAGAAGAAAGGTGGGTGTGGCTGATTCTGTAGTTTAGCGGGTGGGCGTGTGGGTGTGGCCGGGACACGGGTGTTGGCAATGTTTACCCCGACCGACGGTTCTCTATCGCTTATAGTAAGCCCTCAATCGATTCAGACGTGAGGCATGCATCTGAGATCAAAGATTTAGTGGGTTTTTTTAACAGATAAGAGAGTCAACCGTTACAGTCAGTATTGGCCTCAGCCTCAGCTGCAGTAAAGCGCGATCAACGGGGGCAAACGTAACGATGTACCTCCTCCAGGAAGTATTTGAGACACGCCGATGGCGGTTTCAGTTTGTGCTCTGTTGAGCTCAACAAGTACACGATATGACGTGTTAAGGGCTTCAGATGAATTCCCCGAAGGGTTTGGAACAACGTCAGTTCGGAGAACACCACACCTTGAGCCGACCATTCATCGCCACGGGAATGAACTCAAGAGTGGGGTAGAGTGGCGCTTATATAAGTGTTGATTGTAGAATGCTGGCAGCAATACTTGTGTGGGAATAGCATCGCATTCCCTTTAAAGTGATGTGATGAGATTAGAGTGTTAATAAACAAAGGTAAGTGTTAAGTGGACGGACATTCTTTTAGTAAATATCATATAGCGAGGGCATTGACATGGAATCGTAGTACAGGTATTTAAAGAGTTGTTTCATGTAGATTTCTCATACTACTGTTTTTTTTTAATATCCAGGTTATACGCAAGAGGTTCTGTGGATGTCGCTCTGGAATATAAGCTTGTTATAAGGTTGTTTACCTTGATTTTAAAACGTCCGTCTGTGTCGACTCTGACGCAAGCGTCCACTATCGCGATAAGATAAAGAGATAAATGCGCCCACCATGACCAAGACGCATGTGGCGTGCGGCCTGCTGGACTGTCTGGGCAAGCTGTGGCTGGACACGAAACACTGTGACATCACAATCAAAGTGGGAGACCGTGAGTTCCCGTGTCACCGGACACTACTCCTGGCCTGCTCCCCGGTCCTGGAAGCTCTCGTCCAGAATAGCGATGCTGTAAATGGTCCAGAATCGCTGAGCATTCCTGACTTAAGCCCTGATTTATTCGAGGTCTTATTAAGAGCCCTTTACACAGGGGACTTCCGCCTCACAAGTGGGAATATTATCAAAGTGATGGAGGTCACAATCAAATTCAAAATCAACTTTCTCGCTCGTGAATGTGAAGAATTTGTCAAAGAAGAAATATCTCTCGACAATTATTTGTATTTTTACGAGCAAGCCCAAAGGCTGGCCTCCCTCACGTTGATTGGTCATTTAAACGATTACATGAAGATGAACTTTGAGCATTTCCGGTTAACTGCAGAATTCCTGCTGCTGTCTGCCGACGAGCTGTTCAAAATGGTGGCAGCTCACGATCTCGTTGTGACGTCTGAAGACCACGTCATCGAGGCTGTCCTGAGGTGGGCCGGTCACTACCCGGAAGTGCAAGCTTCAACGCTCAAGGTTGGAGCCCACCATTCTTACGTTGATCAGGAAACAAGTACTTTAAAATTAATGACACCGATGGAAGTCTCAGAGGCAGACAAAAATCTGAGTAGTTTCCATGTCACGTGGTCTAGATGTACAATTCAAGAATACGAGAGAGTCAAGGATTTCCCGAAAATCCTGAAGGCAGCCAGGCTGTTTTGCGTGAGCGCTGCTGTTCTCGAGGAGCTGATGAAGAACCGCGTTGTGACGTCATGTCCGGAAGCGTTGGAAGCCGTTCACGCGGCTCTGATTTATAAATGGAAGGGGGTTTGCTACAACAATATAGTTATACCCTACAGGGCGTGTGCTGATTTGTGCAACGTTGTGGTGTATGTCCAGCACAACCAGATCAAAATGTACTCACTCGCGGATGGAAATTGCTCGGTAATTTATAGCAACACAGAGAACGTGAAGCGATTTCTAGAACCCACTGGAATAGCAGCAGTAGATGAATACATTTGCCTGACGAGGTACACCACCGAAAGCCATGCGCACCATGACGTAAAAAAATACACCACACATTACGAGGTGTTCAACAAGGAAAAGTCCAGCTGGAGTAATCTGGGCACGCGGCAAGGCGTTCTTCCCCACACTATTCTTGCGCTCAATGGTCACGTGGTCGTTCTGAGACCAGAGCGCGTTGGAACCGTGGCGAGCGTGAGCCCTGTCGAAAGCGGTGCGTGGGGGATCGTCGATGTGAAAGTTCACGAAACGTTTCGCCAGGCTGCCATCTTCCAAGGGGGTATTCTAGAGTTATTTGACGACGACGGCGTCACGTGTGTCGTCTGCCATAATCCTTACACCAAGAGGTTGGAAGATGTTGGACGGCTAGACGGCCCAGCATCACCCATCGTCTGTTTTCAAGACGGGAAGGAACTGTACATTTTGCAAGGCAGCGGACAATTGTGGTGTGTCGTCAGAGCCGGGCACGGAGGACTTCAACTGAACAAATTGGAAAAGTTGTGGAAATTCAACAGAGATGTTTGCGGAGCAGTATGTTACGGGCAAACTGTGTTTGTCTTTGAAAGGGAGTCCGCGGGAATGTGCGCGTCACCTGCCGACCTTGCTGTTGACAGTGCCAGGAAACGCCCGGCTGAGAGCAGTGAGGACACGTGCCGAAGTAAGGAACTCTTCTACACATCCGATAACGCCGCTGACGATACGACGGAACATGTGGCCGTGGGTATCACCCCTGAGGGTGCCGCCTGGGGAGCTAAGAACATTAGAATAATCCCGTTAAGATGTACTTCACAGGTTGTACCAATGGCTATACCTAAATCATGGTTTTCAAAATAACAGGGGTTTTTTTTTCATCCCAGGGGCAGTGAACTCTGCCGAGTAATGCAACTGCTGTGTCAGCTGGTAATTTATTTTATCATTACCCTTGCAATAGAAGTTTGTGTTTATATTTGGAACATACATGTTTGTACGGAATATTCCTGCCTTTTTTTTGGTTCATTTAAAAAATAATTTGTGATCAATATTGCAATTTTGCTACATTGTATTATTAAGATATGTTTATATATTATCTTAACACTTTTTGTTTAATCTTTCACTTTATTATTTTATAAATACATGTTTTAACTTCGAAAATTATTATTACAAAGCATAATTCCAGGAATATGTTCGCCCACACTATGAAACGATGGTATGGACGTCTAAATGTGACAAGGTCTGAGATTATTCGTTTAGGAGAAAAAGCTGGTTAACCAAACAACAAATCATCTCTCACCAGGCATCTGTGTAACCCAATGGAACTTCATATGTGGATGATACAGCTTGGTCGGTAGCGTCTCAGAAATTGCCGGAATTTTCAATTTTCATTGTGTCAATGTTATCCGCATGCGGGACTCCATCTCCGGGTTTGAATTCAGAGACTTTCCTTCTGGTCGATGAGGTGCGGCCGAACAAGGGTAACGAGTCCCTTCAACTATTGTATTATTATTATTTTATTTTTGTGTTCAAATTTTTTTCCTGCAAATATCCTTTGACTTTTTTTTATATATTCTATTTGATTCATACTTAAAGCAATAAAATTCATCTTCTTCTATCTTGATGTCGGAAGTTTTCAAGCTTGATTTCAAATAATCGGATTGTTTATTTTGGTATTCCATCTCGATCACGTCCGTCAGCTATAAAATGTGACCCGTTATGTAAAAAAAGATGTATGTTACAAACAATTCCTGTCAAGTCAAACCATATTTTTCCCTCCGATTATTAAATAACGCTACGCAGTGTAACATCTATGTTCCTGAATTTACAAACAATATTTTTAAGCGTAATTAATGTTACGAATGAATAATGACATAGAACATTGTTTTACTGTAAAAAATGTTCTGCTTGCCTTCTGTATCCTTGCACACAATGATGACCTTTGCTGACCTTGTCACTCTCCTGTTGGTCCTTATTTAATTGGTTCCCTTCAACCAACATCACCATCAAATGATTCCTTTTTGTTGACATCTGTCATGAGCGTTGATTGCTTGGATTGATGGCGTTGTGCTGTGTTTATCAGTTCTATAACACAGCGGTCGCCAACCTACGGCCGGCAGCCACTGGTGCTACACGAGAACATTTTGGCGGTCCGTAATAACATGCGGACATTATTTATATTTTTATGCTTATTAACATTTTTTTTTAAATAGTGCTTAAAGAAATTCTTATATTCTAAATGATAATTTTTGTCAGCTTTTATGGCTTGCTCAGTAAATTCAATGCAAATGGAAGAGCACTTTTTAAAATTGTTTTATAGTTAATGTCAAAAAAATATATATACTTGCTCCTTAAATTTTATAATCAATTTTATTCCATTCAACGACATAAATAACAAGGTGATTCTTTGATCCATATTTTAATATCTAACCAACGATAAGTCCAAATTCATCGAACGAGTAAAAATACAGGGTGCTATTCCTGCCTTCAGCTAGCACGTAAAAACCCTTTTCATCCGGTGACCATGCGATGCCCTGACTGTTGTTGACCCTCTGGTACGTGTTGACTTGAATCGGCACGTTGTTTTTCACTGCCTTGATGTAATCGTTGTCTGGGACACTGGGGGGGGGGGAGAAAAAATTATGGATTATATAAATTTGTGTCAACTAGTTATAGTGTGTCTAGTACCAGCTCCAGTTGAAATGAGGGCAGAGAAGAATCTGTATTATATAAATTTGTGTCAACTAGTTTTAGCGTGTCCAGTACCAGCTCCAGTTGAAATGAGGGCAGAGAAGAATCTGTATTATATAAATTTGTGTCAACTAGTTTTAGCGTGTCCAGTACCAGCTCCAGTTGAAATGAGGGAAGAGAAGAATCTGTATTATATAAATTTGTGTCAACTAGTTTTAGCTTGTCCAGTACCAGCTTCAGTTGAACTACCACCCAACATTTTTTTATTTTTCAATTTTTTTTTTTTAATTTAAATAGAAATATGTTTAACAATATATTATCACAGTATTTGTACAGGAAAGGTGGAAAAAAAAGGGAGGAATCTTTTGAGACCTGGCCCGGAGATATATAGGAGAATTTGTGGAACAAAAACAACTGAAGCCCACAGACAACTCCAAAAGGAGCAGCCACAATACACAATGACAGAGTTGCTTGGCTGTTGGCTCTTTGTCCACTCGCAGCACATCAGCATTCAAAAAAATTACATCACCACATCAAAATAACTCACTGACGTAAGAATAAAAAAAAAATCTAATGCAAAATTTAGTGAACACCTTCTTCAAATTACACACTTTTTGAATTCTGTGAATTAATTATTGCAATGAACTTTAGCGAGGTACCAAAATCTTTGTGCCCCACTCCTGAAGAGTCTCGAAATTTCAGCCATTAATTGCGTCTATATATAATAAAATAGGCGCTTCGTAATAAACAGAAGACGTATTAAGACAGAAGACACAACCTAGGCGTCTAAGCGTAGCCACTGCATGAATTAGAAAGGAGATTACCTATTACTCAACACATAAGTACTCAAACATAAATAAGTACATAAGTCCACAACCTTTTCTTCAACACCCCATTCCCTGGACGTTAATGAAGATTTGAAATGTCCTTAGTCCGTAACACAATTAAAACAGATAATGGACTATAAGCCATAAGACAGACTATAACCATGGGACAGACCATAAGTTCTAAGACATGCTGTAAACCAAACAATGGACTATAAGCCATAAAACTGTTTTTAAGCCCTACGATGGTCGAACCATTTACCATTATATAAGCCATGTGATGGGCGATAAGCCAACTGTGGGCACTAAGCCAAAGGGACGGTTCAATTAAGCCAGTCTTGAGACTATAAGCCATACTACAGACAATAACTCATACTACAGACAATAAGCAGTACTACAGACTTTAAGCCATACTACAGACTATAAGCCATACTACGGACTATAATCCATGGGATAGTATATAAGACATACTGCGGTCCATAAGCCATACTCCGGCCTAGAAGCCATTGGACAGTCTATAAGCCATACTACAGACTATAAGCCATACTACGGACTATAATCCATAGGTTGGTATATAAGCCACACTACAGACTATAAGCCATACTACAGACTATAAGCCATACTACGGACTATAATCCATAGGTGGTATATAAGCCATGCTGCGGACTCTCAGCCACAGAGATCTCAATATTAAAACGGGAGAACCCCTGGTAGCTTTACAGACTCACCTGAGATAATAAATGCCCTCCTCACCAACAACTATAACATTCTTTCCATTGGGTGAGATGTCTCCCCCTAGAGGATCATTGCTGTTCGTCGTTATCTTAAACACGGCAGCATTATTCAAATCAAGCCACGTTGCGCTGGAAAGTCGAATTATGCATAAAACATTAAGCATACAAACTTTTTGAAGAAATATTTGTAAATCGTAAGGTGTTAATTTAATGAGATGCATCTTGTACTTATATATCGAGTTTCCACAGGTTCTCATTTATAATTTTTATAAGTATTTTTTTTTTTTTTTTTTTTTTAAAACGTCTACTTGTCTTTGTTCCAACCAGAAGCAGGATTCTCAGCAAACAAAGCCCGCCCCCCAAACACCTTGGACTAAATGAAAAGCTGACCACCTTTTATTATTTTTTTAAGTTTTTTTTTTTTTTTTTTTTTTTTAAAACGTCTACCTGTCTTTGTTCCAACCAGAAGCAGGAATCTCAGCAAACAAAGCCCGACCACCAAACACCTTGGACATAATGAAAAGCTGACCACCTGGTGAAATCATAAGGGTCTCTGCGTTTACTTCTGTCCAGCTGGTTGGTAGAAAACGAAAAAGATTTTTATTAATTTTTTTTTAAAATTATTATTATTTTTTTTTGGGGGGTGGGGGTGGGGTTGAAATTCTGGCATTGAACTGATGGCTCGTGCGACAAGAACAGCAACATTGCAAACATGAGTGTAACCCACGAACGAAGCGACGGGTTGAGTTACGCTGAGATCACACCCCTATTTCCTGTGCAAATGTACCCATGCCTTCGACTTTCTGTTGTCAAAATGGAGCGATTAGAATTTTCACTTGGAAAACTTCAAAATCTCATGCTCTCCCTCGCGCATTGGATCGTTCTTGGCCCAAGATTTTGTTGTACACGATAAAATTTTAAAAAAAAATTAATTTTAAGAAATTAAAATATTTAAACCCAAAGAACCAGTGTATTATCGATATTTTATAAATGATTAGTATTTGAATTAGTATTTTTTTTAAAAATGGTTTAACCCATTTGAAAGGGTTTGAACCCGCCACTGCTGACCACAACGGTTGTTTTAACACATAAACCACATGTCTGGCATTAGTAAATGATCGACATTGCTTCTTTGCAAACTCGTCAGATTTGTACGGTTTTTTTGGTTTTTTGGGGTGATTAAAATTTACAGAAAATGGCGTCTGAATTTCTTCATTGAATTTTTCGCTACAATGATGTTTCAATTTTTTTTCTGCATTTGACTACGTGTTGTGTCACTTTAATTACACTGCCCATAACTTTTTTTAAGGCTGCACCACCTTGTTTGCCCTAATTTCTACCCTATTCCGAAGGTTTATCTCTCTTGGCAATAGTACCAGACACGTGACCTGAATTTTATTAATTGATATATTATTCGATACTTATTACATGGCCATTTAAATATATAACTTATCAAATTGAGAAAATTAAATTATTCCTTTAAAGACTGAAATAATTAATTTTGATTTTTAAAATTCCCTTAAGTTCTATCTACGTCAGATAGATCAATTGAGGAAAAAAAAGGGGGGGTGGAAGGGAAAGTCTTATATCACTCTGTCTACGAAAGACTGCAATGCCAATCTGATGCTGTATTTTAAAACTATAATCCCCGGGAAGATCTTGTACGCCCCCAATGTGCTCTTATCCGTTACCTCACTATCGTAAGCACCAAATTCACGCGAAAAAAAGACATATAGAGTCAATACAAGGCATTGCAGCCCCCCCCCCCCCACACCAGTAGAAGATAAAAAAAATCCCCGGGAAGATCTTGTACCCCCCCAATGTGCTCTTATCCGTTAACCCACTATCGTAAGCAACAAATTCACGCGAAAAAAAGACATATAGAGTCAATACAAGGCATTGCAGCCCCCCCCCCCCCAAACCAGTAGAAGATAAAAAAAAACAGTGGACCTACTTGAACGCCAATGACCCCACCAAATCAACAGTGGCGTCTTGCAAGGTCAAGGGCTCCCTGATGGCGTAGATCACGTTCTCAGTGCCTTTCGCCACGTGGACTCCAACGTCTGCTATGTAAATGCAGTACCTGGTAGGCGTCGTCTGTGCACTGTGGATATTCAGGTCAAGATAACGGGAATCATTATATAACATAACAAAGGACTCAAAAAATCTTCCGGAGGTGTCTGAATGAAAACTACTCATACCCTAGAACAGCGGTTCTCAACCTGTGGGTCGCGACCCACTTTCCCAGGGGTCGCCTAAGACCATCGGAAAACACATATGCTCTACAGCTATGAAGTAGCAACGATATAATTTTGTGGCTGGGGGGTCGCCACAAGGTGAGGAACTCTATTAAAGGGTCACATGATCAGGAAGGTTGAGAACTACTGCCCTAGAATAACCCGTCATTGTGTGGTGAGTAAAGTGTATACCTGAGAACACAAACAAAAATAATTCACTTTTATGTGAGTACACTAAAGACTTACGACATGAGAGACCAGTCCTATTTCAAATCTTTGCGAGCACAGAATGAACTTTTCTGTCAGTACAGGATACAATTTATTTCCTAGTACACGATACAAGGTTAATGAATGAAGGGCTGCGTTCAAGCTGTGTGAAGGAAGGTTCCCGGCCGAAGCGTTCATCATTTGTATCGTCCATAGGCTCTTGTGACAGGCGGAAGATATGTCAGATAATGTCATTGTCGGCAGGGAAACGATCGCGCCATTAATAAGCGCGCAGCTTATTCTTAGGATTTTTTGTTTGCTCTTTACGTGATTACTGCAGATCATCGTCCATGATCCTCATCAGACGACTCTGATAAATTACCTCTGATGTCCGGGCTGTTTTCTTTGTCATTTACCATGTCTCGCTGACATTAAAGCCAGCTGAGGACATACGTTTTTGATGCAGTCATAAAACTGTAGTGTTTTGGATCCAATTATGACCATTACCTTCAAACATTTTGTGACACGCCCAAACCCGCAAACGCACATTTATTTCAACATCTTCTTCGCCGGAGGAATTGTTGACAAAGCACATAAACGTATGGCTATTTTCAATAATGTGGTGACCGATTCTTACATAATGAATTATCTTAGACTTTTTTAATGCTAAACCCAGTGACTTTACCAGCAATCTGTTCTAGGCTACTGGACGCATTCTTGCCAGCTTGTCTTTGCGCCTACGGTAAGAAATTTTGTCATCCGTGGAGTTAGAGTCTGTCAACAGCGGCAGTTCCAGATCAACTTAAAGACGAAGTAGGAAGGGACGCCGCAGAAAATGAGACCAATTGAATTTTATGTTATTTTGAACGTAAGTGAAGTGAGCTTGCTTAAATGACCCTTAGGCGTCTATGAAATCCATCTCCATGAAATTAATGGAGGAATTATGACAAAAGGGGACAACACAGACTGAACACTTGTCCGAGAACGATAATTATCAATGCGCGGCCTTCGATCAAACGAAGTCTTTTGATGACGCCATAATTTATTTTTTTAAGTATGGCGAAAAAAAATGACTGGAAAGATATAATAAATAAGTCCCATCAGGCAAGCTATGACGCAATAAAAGAGCATACGTTGAAAAGATATTTTTCAAGAAAATAACAACATTAGTATATATATATAAGCCAACAGGACATGTTTTCGGAATTATGAATTGATGAGGTTGCAAGTCAACCAGTTTGTGTAAATAACTTTGGCCTTTTGCCATTTACAGTGGGCCGGTGGGGTTCAATTTATATTTCCATTCCTTGACGTAAGAAAAGAAAAAAAAAGTAGATCCAAAGCTAACTGGGTCAAAGTGTAATGGATTAACGTTAAAATACATGAATCAAAAGGAATATAATGGTTTTTTTTTTTTTTGCTTTTTCGGCGCTCGTACATTTTGGGAAATGTTTAGTTAAGAACTCAGAGAGATAAAGTTTCCATGAAAAGAAAAAAAAAGTAGATCCAAAGATAAATGGGTAAAAGTGTAATGGATTAACGTTAAAATACATGAATCAAAAGGAATATAATGGTTTTTTTTTTTTTTTGCTTTTTCGGCGCTCGTACATTTTGGGAAATGTTTAGTTAAGAACTCAGAGAGATAAAGTTTCCAATGCGTAGAGGTCTCAGTAATCCGGCACTGGCTCACAGTGGCGATGCCCAGTGAGAATATTCATCCATTTCTTAGCTAAGAACCGTTTTAATGAGTAGCTTTAACAGAAGAACAGTAACAAGTTATACAATACCAGCGCTCACCTGCAAGTGCTGGTGATACAGTCATCAAAACAAGGGCCGTAAGCCACGTCCTCCCAGTCCGTGTTGGTCGCATTGTTGATGAGAAGGGTGGCCACCTTAGGGAATTAAAGAATAAGCATCTACTGTGTGCACGGTGAGAATCGCAGTGAATAAAATAGAAATGATTTATTTTTAACTGTTTACAAATAGTGTTTGGCTCAGTGGCTGTTGAGTGTTGTGCAATACGTATTGAGCGTCCATTAACTTCGGCTTTCCTTTCATTACTCTCTTTACCCTAAATATCCGAGGGGAAAAAAAGTGTTAAATGGCCATACTAACAAGTGCCATATGTCAATACCAACACAGTGTTAAATGTCAATGCAAATAAAGTGTTAAATATCAAGTACAAACAAAGTGTTAAATTTCAAAAGAACAAAGTGTTAATTCTCCAGACAAACCAACTGTTAAATGTCCAGACAAACCAAGAGTTAAATGTTAAGACAAACAAAGTGTTTAAATGTCCAGACATAAAAAAGTGTTAATATATATAAAAACAAAATTTTAAATATCTATACAAACAGCCTCTTAAATGTCCATACAAACAGCGTCTTAAATGTCCATATAAACAGCCTGTTAATTGTCCATACAAACAGCGTGTTAATTGTCCATACAAACAGCCTGTTAAATGTCCATGCAAACAGCGTGTTAAAAGTCCATACAAACAGCCTGTTAAATATCCATACAAACAACGTGTTAATTGTCCATACAAACAGCCTGTTAAATGTCCATACAAACAGCGTCTTAAAAGTCCATACAAACAGCCTGTTAAATGTCCATACAAACAGCGTGTTAAATGTCCATACAAACAGCCTGTTAATTGTCCATACAAACAGCGTGTTAAATGTCCATACTAACAGCCTGTTAAATGTCCATACAAACAGCGTGTTAAATGTCCATACAAACAGCCTGTTAAATGTCCTTGCAAACAGCGTCTTAAAAGTCCATACAAACAGCCTGTTAAATGCCATACAAACAACGTGTTAATTGTCCATACAAACAGCCTGTTAATGTCCATACAAACAACGTGTTAATTGCCCACACAAACAGCGTGTTAAATGTCAAATCAAACAAATTTGTAATGTCCTCACAATCAAAGTGTTAAATTGCCATGCAGTCGAAATGTTGCATTTCGATACAAAGGAAATGCAAAGAGAAAACCCCAGGTTTGGTGATTATTGTAATTCCTCTAAAAAGTTTTCCTAGTATTAACTACCGTGTGCAACTTACTGTGCTGCCTGAATTGATATCAAAAGCAAAGACCTCGTGGATTCCATCTTTATCATTGTGGGTGTAAGCAATGTTTTTATGAACTCTGCTGATGGCGAGCCCGGAAGCTTCGTAGATTCTAGGATCGGTCAATTGTCCTCTGGACTCCATTGGACCAAAGCTCACAGCTGGGTGTTAAAGATGCATGATATTATTTAAAGCTGAACCATACAAGGGTCATTACTAACGTACGAGATGAATTGAACACATTGATTATGTTGCTTTTTTCCTATTATATCGTCCAAGATGTTATATCGTTGTATAAAGTTCAAACTTCCAAACTATGTAACCTGAAGCTTGTTAACAAAAATGTAAGCAACATAATGGAATTTGCTGAAAGAAAAATACATAAAACCTTGAAATGTAACATCTTTCGTTTTCTTTTATAGATGCCCACCTTCAAATCGAAAAGAATGTTTTACTGGGGATAAACTTCAAATCAAAATTGTATTCGCTTTTAAAATAACTGAAGGTTCCAAATGTACAAGTCCGAAAAAAATTTGGTAATTCAGAAAGCACGGACGAAAACAGACGAGTTTTGCTTCATCCATGATTGTTTTGTGTACTGAACACGTCCCTTATAAGAGAGAAACAGAGAACCTGCTCAATGCATGGGAGAGGAAAATGCTCAGAAATATATATGGCCCATTGAGCGATAGACAATGATGTTTGGAGAATCCTTTCAAACCAACAGCTGTACGAATTGTACAAAGACCCACCCATAGTCGCAACAATGAAAAGAGTCAGACTGCTCTGTGCAGGACATATTGAAAGGATGCCAGAGGGTAGAGCAACAAAAGTGATATACCGGCAGAGAGCCTAGGGGCAGACGGCTCACCGGTCACCCAAGGCTGAGATGGATCGACGATGTATATATAATCGGCATCCTTCCGTCCTACATAGGCTGTAGCACCACTGATGATGATGAAAATTGCTTTAATAAAGGTAAAGCTTTCAATGAAAATTCAATGCACCAATAATTAAAAGCTGTAGCTCACGTTGACATAACAAGAACATCAAAGTTGACATAGCAAGAACATCAAAGTTGACATGGCAAGAACATCAAAGTTGACATAACAAGAACATCAAAGTTGACATAACAAGAACATCAAAGTTGACATAACAAGAACATCAAAGTTGACATAACAAGAACATCAAAGTTGACATAACAAGAACATCAAAGTTGACATTTTTTAATCAAAAGCACGTACTCTTTCTTTACGTAAAAAAATACGAAGATAATTACCTGAGCTAAGCTGCACTACCACAAACAAATGCGATATGCATATCTGTAGCAAATATTTGGATAGAGGAAACATTCTGCAGATTCGAGTGGTTGGCGAACACGATTATCGGTAACAAAACATATCTCTGGTCTTCCTTTTATAGATCGAAAAGGATCATTAGTGAAAAACACCGTCGATAGATGTTGTTATTTTGCATCAGTGACAGTGTCCACATGTGACACATGTGACCTGCACATGTGGGGACAGATGTACAAGATTTAAATACCCTGACCCTTCTTTCTAAAGGTCTGTGGAATGAGCCCAGCGCCAAACCCAAGGCCATCGTCCTCTCTCTCACCTCGGTGCTAGCCTTTTCGTGAATTAAATTTCCTGCGATCTAACGTGTCTTTAACTACATCTCCAATGCCGTCTTCCAACTCAGAATATCTGCTTTATTGCACTGATTAATGCTTCAACTTGTATGCATAAATATTCACGTATTATCATACCTCGACACACAAATTTGATTTTAAAATAAACAATTATTTTTTTTAAACGCCATCTTGAATAATGAGGCGACTAGTTCCGATTAGTGTATCGAATCATTTTTATTACTTTTACAGATTTCTTCCCCCCTCCCCCCCTCCCCGCGCGAAACGGACACAGGGAAATGAAACGGCGTACCCCGGGCATTTGCCAGGTCTCAGAACAGTGGTTGGAAAAACGGGGGGGAAAAAGTCAACCAGCAGCGTGCTTGTTTGCTAAAGTTTGTATTGAAACAACAAGACATTTTTTTTTCATCTTGATTTTAGAGGAGTATTTCTCTTGTAAGAACTAACTCCAATAGATTTGTTGCATACCTGACATGCTTACTAAGAAAATTATGAATTAGATTTTATCTGCAAAATAAAAACAACAAATTACAACATGTACAGCTGCGTTTATTAATGAAATAGTACAGATAGCAGCTGAGTCTAAATCAAAGCTTCCCTACGATGATTTTTTTAAAATAACTCTGTTGAAGCGTCTGTATAATAAATTTCTTTTTTTTTTTTAAATCTATTTCTTCGGTTGCGTCTCTTATTGGTCATCCAGACATACGACGTGAATTGTATGAGAGCAATTAAGAACATGGTTTCTTTCAGCTATATCTCAGGGGGCACTGCCGGGGAAAGGCAAGTGCCCACCCCCCCCCCAAGCAAAAATATGTCCAACAATAAATCAACTGGCACTGCTGGCACTGCCCTTCCCCNTCTGAAGTGCCCCCCACCCCAAAAATCTGAAAATCCCCCCACACACACCGGGGGAAAATTTCTGAAAGAAACACTGATTAAGAAGCAAGCTCGTCTGGAGATGTTTGTGTGTTCTGGTGAGGCAATCGATGGGCAATATGTTTGAAACCTCGTGACTTCAAAACACACGTGACTGCAAAACACACCTAGCAACCGACTATCGCTGTTTTGCCTGTTTAGTGACCTGTAGATTTAACTCAAACTGACGTAAAAGTAGACGTAAAACCTTATACGTTGTGACAAAATGCCTTTTATTACTTGAACAAACTAGTGCGAGAAATTCATAGTTTTCTTTTTAAAACAATAGTATCCTTATTTTAAGGGATATTTTTGTTGACGCATAAATAGTAGTGTTGGGTTTAACAAATTTACTAGAGGAGGGTGAGATCACCTTTCTTTCGTAGAGGCGTAGCTAAGGAGAGGCAGAGGGGGGGGGAAGAGGTTCCTGGGTGCCAGAAGAGTTAGGGGCGCCAAAATATGCCTTGATATTATTTTATCGATGAGAATAAAATGGATTTGAGAGTTGAAAAAAAGAAAGGGAGGCGCTTTAAAATGAATGTTTTCCCTGGCGCCTAACAATCTGGCTACGCCTCTGGTTTGCAGATTGGGGGGTGGAATAAGAGTTGAAACAGCCTTGATGCATGCATGAGGTAGCTTAAGATAAGACTGAGGAGTAATGAAAATGGGTTAGCACGTCGCAATTAAAATTTTAAGTTTAACAGGTTTCAGACAAATATCACTAAAGATGTCACTCATGTCCAAAAAACACAGATAAGATTATCTGGATCGCCACAATATGTCAGTCCACGGCCTAGTAATCTAGAGGGGAAAAAAACATATACACATTAAGACACTTTTGTTTTGAAAGATCTAACTTGGGTTTTAGTCAAGAGTTTATATTGCAGACGGGTCACTGTAATACGAAGTACTGGACTCCGAAATCCAAGGAGACTACCAAGACGCCCTTCTCTATTTTACATTATCTCTCTCTTTCTCTCCTTCTCTCTTTTGCTCTCTCCTTCTCTATCTCCTCATCTTTATCTATCTCTCTCTCTCTTCTTCTCACGCTCCTTCTCTCTCCTTCTATCTCGCTCTTCACTCTGTCTCTCCTTCTCCCTTTTTCTCCTTTTCTCTCAATCTCTCGCCTTCCCTCTACTTCTTTCTCACCCTCTTTCCCTTATATCTCTCTCCTTCCTCCTCTCCCTCTCCCTCTCTTTTCGGCACACGTAAAAAAGCACACTTCATACTATGAAGTATTGCTAGCTCTAAGCACCTCATTAGATATACACGTTTATTGATGATGGTAGCTCGCTGTTAACGATACTGAAAGATATCTCTTTTTTTCTTTTTTTTTGTATGTATTGTAACACTTCTTCTCTTGTGCTGCTTGTGTAACTGACGTATACCCGGTCTGACACCTACTAATTGTTAATGACATGTATTGCTATGTAAGCACGGGGCAGTGCTGATCCTCCCTTCATCACTACAAACTTTTGTTCACTTTGAAGATTCACAATTCACAATATAATAAATAGATATCCCTAATGGAATAAAACGATTGCCCTAACATCACATACTTTATACTTCATACACTTTATAATCCAAACATTGACTATAATTTTCTTATCAATCTTGTATTATATTTTTGGTTTATACCTACCTAGCAACAATTATTTATTAAGAAAATAAGGAAAAAAATTAAGGGATTTTTACTTTTAAAGGTTGTGTCAAAAATCATTTTATTTATTATTTAGTTTTATTTTATTTTCAGCTCCTAAAATTCGACTTCCTGTTACAGCCAGCACTCTGTCATTGACATCCCCCCCCCCGACCCCCAAATTTTCTATTTATCAGAAAAACATAACTGATAATTAATCTTTATAAAACGAATTTTGTAATTGCTCCCTATTATTTTAAAGTCGTAAACAGAGCGGAAAATAAATTGCGTTTGAAATGGGTGGACGTGGATAGAGAGAAAACTAACAACACGTGATTATTTTTTTACCACAGAAAAGGAGGGAAGAGAGAGAGATAGAGAAAGAGGAAGAGAGAGAGAGAGAGAGAGAGAGAGAGAGAGAGAAAGAGAGAGAGAGAGAGAGAGGGGGGGGGATAAAGAATCTGCAACTGAAAGCGATGTACTAAAAATAATAATAAAGTTTATTTGAAAGACACGCTTCATCCCCAAAAGCTCGAAGCGCGGTACAAAGTCAACCATATTAAAAAGAGAAATAAAACAATCTAAAAAAACTACATACGAGCATACCAAGTCAAAGTCTTTCACCCCATTTCAACCATAAGCAACACAAGCAAATATACATTAATTTGAAAAAGATGGTAGATAGCATCACTCCAGAAGGTGGTTGTGAAATAGATGTGTTTTTAAATCGGTTTTAAAGGACTCCAGTGTCTGGCTGTTTCTGAGAACGACAGGAACGGCGTTCCAAATTGTTGGGCCAGCAAATGCACAAGTGCGCTTTCCGTAAGTCTCAGGGCGAACACGCGGTATTGATATTTTGCCACTATTTTGCTGTCTAGTGGGTACATAAGGTGCATGAGTGCTTGAGATAGGACGGCGCCAAGTCGTGTAAGCAGCTGTAGCACAAAGTTGCAATTTTGTACTCTATGCGAGCGCGGACCGGGAGCCAGTGCAGCTCTCTCAGAAGTGTTTTAACATGGTTGAATTTTCTTTTGCGAAGAATAATGGGAGCCTCATTATTCTGTGGTCTTTGAATTGTATCCAGGAGCGTAGCTATGAGACCCACCATGAGAGCATTGCAGTAGTCCATGCGTGATAATACGAATGCAGACATCAGCCTCTTTGATGCTACGAACGATAGCCACGGTCTGATATGACTAATCCTGCGCAGCTCTTGAAAAATCCCCTTGCAAAGCATGTTACTATGATTTTCCATAGTTAGTGTTCTGTCTAAGTAGACACCCATGTCTCGCACCGTTAAAGCAAACTCATTCTGTATACCTGAGAGAGTGATGTTGTGTTTTTTACAGATTTTTTTTTCTGAGCAGTGGCAATGGGGATCAGCTCAGTCTTTTCATCATTCAATTTGAGCTTGTTTATGGTCATCCATTGCTTAATTTGAGCTTGTTTATGGTCATCCATTGCTTAACTGACTCCACTGTCTTCTGTGTCATACTAAGAAGTTGAGGGAACTGAGAGGGGATCACTGATTGATGAAGTCTTGTATCGTCCCCGAACATGTGATATAGCATGTCATACTGCTTGATCACTGCTCCCAGTGGCTGAACGTATATAGTGAAAAGCACCGGGCCTAGGACCGAGCCCTGGGGTACTCCGAATTCAATTATAGATGGCTTCGAGGTCAAACCATTTGAAATAACTGAATGGACCCGATTTGTCATATACGAGTGAAACCATCTCAGGACGTTATCTGTGAGACCAAACGTTTTTTGGAGACGCTGGAGCAGTATGCCGTGGTCAAGCGTATCGAGAGCTGCCAATAAATCGAGGAAAGACAAAATGGATACCTGGCCCTCAACACAACACGACAGTAGGTCGTTTACGTCGCGCAACAGGGCTGTCTCAGTAGAGTGATGCGCCCTGTAGACTGACTGGAAAGGTTCAAGCAAGTTACACTGAATGAGGTGATCCAGGAGTTGGCGAAGAACGACTTTTTCTAAGATTTGGGATAGAAATGGTAGATTTGAGACAGGGCGATAATATTCTATCCAATTTGGGTCAAGATTTGCTTTTTTAACATTAGCGTTACAATCGCCTCTTTAAAAAATGATGGAACAATACCAGTTGTCAAGGACTGATTTATGATACAAGTGATGATGGGGACTATTTGATCCAGACATTCATACAACACCCCTGCTGGAAGAGGGTCGAGTGAGCATGACTTTCTTGGGGTATTAGCCAGGATTTTCCTCACATTCGATTCATTGACCTCAACAAATTCGCCCATAGGAGAGCCATTGAAGAGTGAGAACTCTGGAGCAGTATCGATGCAACTGTCAAGTATTGCCCTGATCGTCTTAGCTTTGTAATAAAGAAGTCATTTAGAGCGTCTGGTAGCTCTTCTACAGCAATGTTATTTGGCAGAGATGTAGCCTTGTTTAAACCGGTCAGCTGACCCACAGTGCGAAATAAGTCCTTGCTTGAGCTGCTATCTGTAATCTGATGACTTGCATGCTCAGTCCTAGCTGCAAGGACCAACTTTTTGGCTCGTTCCCTGTGGTCAACAAAGATTTGTGGGCCCACGATCAAGCCCGACTTCCACCATTGGCGTTCTGCACGTCGCTTCTTCTGCTTCGCGTCCTTAATTTCGGGCGTAAGCCATGGGGCAGAAGGGCGGTCCGTAACTCGCCGTATGGACAGAGGTGCATGTTTGTTCATGATGACTCTAAGACCATTGTTGTAGTCTGTCACAGGGTCTTCTTCACTGCACCTGAGGGCGGCGACGTTGCATTGGAAGGCCACTAGATCTATTTTTCGGAGGTCACGGGATGTGACTGTACGCAGAAGGCACCCTGGCTTCCTCAAGTCAAAGTCAAAGTATAGGGGGAATTTTATTTCTGTCTGCAACTGCTGTGATGTTCCAAATATAGCAATATGCTTGTTGAGGCCTGTAAAAAATTATCAGAAATGACAGATCGTACATAAAATATACATTATTATATTCACTTGTTATCCTTTCTTTATTTATGCAATCAACATTTCCACACAAAAAATGTATCTTAACGTTTTAAAATTATATTTACCATTTAAGAATTACACTTTATTGCGCCTAAAAATATTAAAATTCATATTGTTGTAAATTTTCGAAGCTGGAGAATAACAATTGTTAGTTTGAAACATACATCCGCATTTGTTTCGCGTTTTTTTCCGGTAATTTCCAAAAGAATGAATTTTGCACACCCTTTTGCATTATCGCCTTTTAAAACCTTGTTACTACGGTGCACTTCCTTTAACAACAAAATTTAAATGAATGTGGTTGGTCATAAAAACATGCGAGCTACTCTTCTCCAAGATAATGTTTGAAACTGCAGGAAAATGTGCACCGGCGTCGCTAGCGTCAGGGCCGCCCATGGCTTTCCCAGGATTTTGTTAATAAAAATTTCTTAAAATTTGTCCGAAAATGCCGCACCCCACTAAAAAGAAAAAAACCTTCGCCCCGAGTGGACCGCGCCGTCCGCATCACCCTTCCTGCGCCATTGACTACAACATGGTGGCTGACATCCGACAACCTCCTGCGTGGAGTAGCCTACCCGCCGCTGTTATACGGAAAATCTACCAGAACTTGACGGACGTGGACAGGGCATCGATGACTAGGGTAATGGCGATCAAGGGGGTCGGGAGGGTGGGGGGAGGGGGTGGAGGTCTATTAGTGTAGTGGTCGGGGTGGGAGATGTGAGCTATTTGTGTGCTCGTTACAACGAAAGAAGCGATGCGGTCCCCATTGCTGGTACCGGCGGAGAGATAGACGTGGCTAAATGAGTGGATGGGTTGATAAACGACTTAGCAGGTGGATGGAGGGATGGAAGGGTGGGCGAGTGGATCAAGTGTCGGTGGATGAGTGGATGCAAAAGAGATTCCATGTCTGAGTTATTTGATGGATGGAAAAATGTGTGAATATGTGGATAAATCTTTGTTTTGACTTGTGAGGAAGGATATTCCTTTCCTAAGTTAAGCCACCAGACACTGTAGATAAGTTCCACCACTGAAGATCATTCTAGCATGGCTACGTCTACGGGGCTACACGTGTAACGCTTATTTTCCTTGATCAGGTTTGTCAGTCTTGGCATGAAGGCTTCTGTGACCCTGTCCTCTGGAGGTCAAGGGTTATTGACTTCGGCGGATGCAAATACCACGAAAAATTTAAACTTGAGGTTGTAATGAAGGGTCATCCAGGACAAGGACTTACATTCACAACCGGTATAGTAATATATCATATACGTACTGGGCGCTAGAGTAGCATATCTTATACATACTGGGTCAACTAGAGTAACATATCTCCCATACAAACTGGGTCAACTAGAGTAGCTAATCTTACACAACTGGTTGCACTTGAGTAACATATCGTATATGTACTGGGTCAACTAGATTAGCATATATTAAACATACAGGGTCAACTACAGTAACATATCTTGTACATACTTGATCAACTAGAATAACGTATCTCAGACATAGGCGGTCAAATAGAGCAACATATACATATTGGGTCAACTAGCAACACTGGCGCCCATACTTTTACTTTGTGTTTACAGTATTAATTGGAAGAAAATCCTTGTCTCTCGAAAACTTACTTTTTAAAAATTTTAGTGCAACTTAACGAAAGCGGACTTTTTTTAAAGGACGAAACGTATTTTATACTTTAAAGTATAATAAAAAAAAGACTTTAAAGTAAAAATTAAGTCTTTTTTATTATAACTTATTTGTCATCACTTATCGTAATGTCATCAAGGGTAAGTAAGTTATGGACTGGTCGTATTGTCATCAAGGGTAAGTAAGTTATGGACTGGTCGTATTGTCATCAAGGGTAAGTAAGCTATGGCCTGGTCGTAGTGTCATTGTCATCAAGGGTAAGTAAGTTATGGACTGGTCGTATTGTCACCAGCGGTAAGTAAGTTAAGGACTGGTCGTATTGTCATTGTCAACAGGGGTAAGTAAGTTATGGACTGGTCGTACTGTCATTGTCAACAGGGGTAAGTAAGTTATGGACTGGTCGTATTGTCATTGTCAACAGGGGTAAGTAAGTTATGGACTGGTCGTATTGTCATCAACGGTAATTAAGTTAGGGACTGTTCGTATTGTCATCAAGGGTAACTAAGTTATGGTCTGGTCGTATTGTCATCAACGGTAAGTAAGTTAGGGACTGGTCGTATTGTCATCAAGGGTACGTAAGTTATGGTCTGGTCGTATTGTATTGGGGGGGGGGGGGGGGGGTGAGTGTAAAAAGTTTCCGTTCAAATGGAGATCAATAACAGAAAGGGTGTCAACATTGTGAGGCAAGGTTTGACCCGCACATGTCAATCGAGGCCCACTGAAGGTCTTTAATCGAGGCCCACTGAAGGTCTTTAATCGAGACCCACTGAAGGTCTTTGCTGATCTACTGATCTCGTAGGATCGTATTTCCACCGGGATCGAGTACGGGACAGGTCAAAAACTGTGTTACGATATGTACACAGACAAACACATAGAAACACAAACAGACAGACAAAGCCACAAAGAAGCAGACACATTTTCAAGCTATGTAAACGAAGATATAATGTGGCTGCAATAGCTGACATGTGCAGATGTTGAGACTGAAGATCATTCATACGTTGCACACAGTTCTTTGGTAGCTGCATGTTCTCGTCTAGCGTTACTTCTCTTCTATACCCCCCATACCTTAATCCACGATATGTATTTACCCCCCCCCACCCAAACGTGTCATAGGCGTATGAAGTTTGTTACATATTTACAAGTTTGATTTTGTGTTCCTCATCAGGACAGAATGCAGTACTCTTCGCCCGACAATTCTCACGGTGTCTGAAGAATGTGGACATCCTCTTCCACAAAATGTCCCCTTATTCCGCCCGGAGAATTCTCAGGGACTTCCTGCCGTTCTCATCCAGTCTAGGTGATCACTCACGACTCACCTCGTTGTGCTTCTATAACCTCAAACTCAAGAGGCTCAACGGGCCGAGGCGCAAAAAGTTTTTAAACGCATTTTTAACGTTGACAAGAGGTCAGACTTTAAAGGTAAACCAAAATTATCTTAAATCTGATTTTTTTTTTTTTTAAACTTGCTGATAAGACAGGGACACATGGAAGCCCCTGGGGCAAGTGTTGAGCCTTAAAAGAATCGGAAGCGGATCTTTCATTTAAGCACATCCGGAAAGAGATGGGATAGTGGGGGACAACGTCCGGACAAGGGTGATCGGTGTTATGAATTTTGCGGACATCGACTGCTTAGCTTTATTTGTTTCATACTGCTTGAGGACCACTGCGTTTATTCCTTGGTGACTAATTTATTTGGGGAAATATTTATAATCTCAACTCGTCTATATTAGAGAAAAAACAACCTTAAAGAGGTAGATTACTGAACATATTTGGTTGCTATTTATAAACTCGTGTGAACAAGGCTAGGTTGTTGTTTTTTCTCACTTTTTCACTTCATTCAAGTTATTTATATTACGGGCCACCACATATTTTACGTACGCGAAAGATAATCAAATTTAAGACCCCCCTTCCTTAACGCTAGAACCCACTTCTTGCATGCGCACCTTTAATCAGCTCTAATCCACCTCCCACCCCTTGTGCGGGTCTCGGTGTGGGGGTCGTCAGCCCATGCGCACAAGGGGGTGGGGAAGGCTGGAAAGTATGTGCATTTTATGCGGAATACCTTTATGATCAACCACATAAGGCCTTTCACGTTTAGTAAAGGACTATTTTTTTCTCGTTTTTTTTTTTTTAAAATTCTGACTGAGCTCTAATCTCAATGTACAATGGCTATATTTAAAAAAAAAAAAATTAAAGCATTATATTTTATTATAGTTTATAAGTTAACTAATGCTTTTCATATGTAAGTCTGCATGTTTAATTAATTATAAGGCAATTTTTGTTTGAAATATTTTTTTTTAATTAAAATGTTCTGTTTTAGGCACACATTGTATCTGGTTCTCAAAATTTCTGAACTTTTAACCCATTTCTTTTCATTTTCCCGAAAATCTTCCTTTTTTTTTTTTTTTTCAAAAAAGAAATTTGGCATAGACGCCACATACTTTGACCTCGAGAGTGGTCTACAATTACTGCAATGTCTTGCTGAGACCTCGGGAGCTACCATTGAAATTCTATTTCTCAAGCGATACTTTCACTACCCCATCGATCAGGAGCCGAGAGTGGTCACAGAAATGCAGGTTGTGTTTCAACTCACTCTAATTTTGCTATTCACATCGGCCCTTGGTTTAATTGTATCTCATTCACAGACCACAAGAAGACACGTATCTGATTTCATAACGGCTGTTTGAGATACGTGGATCTTATTTCTGTCATAGAGACAAACTATTTTTATCTTTAAATGTGGTCGTTTTTTTAATGTATCGTTTGTCTTTGTGTGTGTGTGTGTGTGTTATTTTCTTTGTGTTTTTTTTAAATAATAGAAAAATTATAAATGTAGATTTAAAAAAAAAAATTCTTATCAAGCCGGATGCTTCTTAAAGTTTTAAGTGTATTGACCTGGCAAAACGTTCCCTGCTTGTAGCACGGGCTGTTGGCCATTATATTGATATTGTTATGATTTGTATTCACCGTCTAAGTTCTTGAGTTCTTGAGTTCTTGAGTTCTTGAGTTCTTGAGTTCTTGAGTTCTTGTGTTCTTGAGTTCTTGAGTTCTTGTGTTCTTGAGTTCTTGAGTTCTTGAGTTCTTGAGTTCTTGAGTTCTTGAGTTCTTGAGTTCTTGAGTTCTTGAGTTCTTGAGTTCTTGAGTTCTTGAGTTCTTGAGTTCTTGAGTTCTTGTGACTAGTAAACGGATTTTGTTTTTAACAATTTCTTTTTTTTTTTTTGTTTTTACATTCTTAGAAATTCACAAGGCTTTTTCGTATCCACGTTCAGTACTGCATTCTGTCTGAAGTTTTCCTTCATTAAGCTTTGGGTCAAAAGATATGTTCCACAAAGTAAGTTTTTTTTTTCCCTTTCTTAAAAAAAAAAAAAAGTTATTATTGAATTTTTTTTGTAAAACTTAACCTTGTGTGTATGAAGGTGTACTGTCGTTTAATATGTTTGGTTTCTATATAAATGTGGACGAGCCCCCAAGATTTTTGTGTTTTGATGATGGCGGTGTCATATGGACCGTGGTGTTGCTTTCTTATTTATCTAAGATTTAGGAGATTCCAAGTTAGTGCATTTCTTAGAGATGTCATTTAAAAAAAAATTTCAATAAGAAGATCCCGTGACATTTAAATGGTTTTACTTTTCCAGCATAGATGCGTGCCTATTTCTTGGTGCATGGTGGATGCACCAACGCCCCTTTTTGTTTGTATGATGGCTATACCAAAGCCCCTTTTGTTGTACGATGGCTATACCCAAGTCCTTTTGTTGTACGATGACTGTACCAAAGTCCTTTTGTTGTACGGTGGTTGTACCAACGCCTTTTGTTGTATGATAGCTATACCAACGCACTTTTTGCTGTACGATGGTTATACCAAAGCCCCTTTTGTTGTATGATGGCTATACCAACGCTCTTTTTGTTGTACGACGGCTATACCAAAGTCCTTTTGTTGTACGCTGGTTATACCAACGCCCTTTTGCTGTATGAAGTCTTTGCCGACGTATTCAAGCGAAGTTATTATTTAATCAACTTTATTATCATTGTCGCATTGTAACATCGATCACACCAAAAATATAATTGTTCAAATTTACACTTTACCAACACGACCATTGTTACACTATTTGACTCTGTCAGTCATATGCTGTGAGGCGTGGCGGGCTCTTGTGACCACACATCCGAACCTGATGGTTGAAATCCACGCGCAGAAGCTTCAGAACACGAGCCAGATGCTGCCCCTTCTGTCCCCTGTTCTGCCCGTGTGCACTTTAAAATGGGAGTCCCGGGATGCGCTCACAACGGAAGCGGACGTGAGTTTGCGCCCTTAAATCTTTGGTGTGTTGGGTCAAGGGGGTGTCTGGTAGGCATGCAGCCATTTAAATACCACTTGTACTTACAAGGGAAAACAATTATTTTTAGTAATAATTTCCATTTTATCACAACTTTATTATAATGAGTTATAGCGTATTCAACGTTTAAATTTTTTTTTATTTTTGGAGTTAGGGGTAAGGGGCGGGGGGGTGGGGGGGAACAAATTCAATGACGATTTCTTTAAGGGATCGCGTTGCCAATGGTGTGTGGGTGAGTGTGTGTGTGTGCACGCGTCTTAAGGATCGTTTATATGTTCTTTAACGCTTTGATTTTCTATGCACGCTTGTTTTAAAGGTTAAAATATTAGAATATTCTCTACATAAATAAATCTCTTACATATATATATATATATATATATATTTGGCTTCTGGTGTGTCCTGATTTCTTTTTGAAACTACCCCCCACCCCCCCCCCAAAAAAAAAGACAACTCCTCATAATTTATATTTATAATACTGAGTGGAAAAACAAAAGGCTGTCATGGGTTATATATATATATATTTGGCTTCTGGTGTGTCCTGATTTCTTTTTGAAACTACCCCCCACCCCCCCCCCCAAAAAAAAAGACAACTCCTCATAATTTATATTTATAATACTGAGTGGAAAAACAAAAGGCTGTCATGGGTGACGTGTCAACTCGAGTCATTTTGGACCCACTGGGTATTTTCTCAAAATACCCGGACCCCGCGTAAATAAAAAAAAAAAAAGTGCACCCGGTTGAGCCCTAGTTAAAAAACAATTCTTGACTTTAGGTGACCAGTCTGCTACATCGCGTGGCCGGCTACCACGCCACAATAAAGGATCTCTCCCTGGTGATTTTTGGGGAATACCCTGACCTGGACACTGTTTCAGTGCAGAACATGTTGACTAATTGCAGAAAGCTGTAAGTCGATTTTGTTTATTGTTTGTTTGGCATTCAAGATTAACGAGCAGCATGCCTCCCCATCCCAGCACGTGCAGAGACTCAACTGTTTCACGCGAGTGTCCTATGTCTTGGAATGTTAGGGCTTGGAAAAATTAATGAGTTTTAGGCAGCGAGAGCCATTCCTCTAATTACTGAAAACTATTTAGTTTTGGCAGTACGGTGCGAGAGAGCACATTACAGAGCGTGAAAGGACAGTTAAATTCAGGAACCTGCTTTCAATATATTGTATGTGTAATGGTTGGTAAGCAAAAATAAATACACCTTATTAACCAGGAGATGTGAGAGTCTTCTTGCATTACTGTAATTGCCCGGTCCCTGAAATTGTAAGGGTGCAGGGGCGTTGCTAGAGAAATGTCAGAAAGGGTGTAAGTGTCGATTTCAAAGTGGGTAATAGAGGCGGACAATTTCAACAACAACAACAAAAAAATCAGGACCTGTAAAATCTAGTTAATTGAGCTAAATTATTGAGATCATTAGCCCTACTACACAGGTCCCCAGGCGTTTCCAATTCACAACATTTAAATAGAAGCTAAGGGACCGCGATATATTGATTTTTTTTAAAAAAAGCTTTTAAATGTAACATTTTGAAATAAAAACATTTCAAAACTAAATGTTCCAGTATAATTATGATTAAAAAGATATTTATTGCAATGAGATTTTTTAAAATTCAAACTTCAGGACAACAATTTAAAAACTAATCTTATTTAAAAGTCTGCGACTATTCGCACCCGAGTACCAGACGTGAGAGGTTGGGATTAAAAAAACTAATTAAAATATTATTGTTGGGTTTGTAAGACAAAATGAAGTGTCAAATGAAAGATAATTGAATGGACTGTATGTTTGTAAACTTAATTCTTCAGTTTTACTCAAATAAACTACCGTAAATGACATCCGAATAGCGTTGAGTCAATATGGACCCGGACACACATAGCCGCTATTCGGTCCCGGGTCCCTTTAGACTAAATCCCATTCGGATGTCCTTTGTGGTAGTTGATTTTAGTTAAACTGAAGAAATTAGCTGCGCGGTACTCACAACTGCTGCGCGGCGTCTGGTAGATTAAAGGGAACATTGGATACATGTCCGAATAGTTTCTGCTTTTCAAAACGAACACATCGGTACACGCTGTTGGAAACATTTTCTTGTAAATATTTCGTGGCCGATTCGAAACTAACATAAGGCAAAACTTATAAAGAGTGTTAGGGTGAAGTAATGCTTACTGTAGTAGATAGCCTGCCGACCTAACCACCCCCACCCCCACCCCCCCCCAACACAGCACCACATTTAAAATGGGCAAGAGCCGCCAAACGTATCTTTGGGTTTTCATTTCGTGAAACATGTCTCTGGAGGGGCTCAGTAAGGCGAGGGGCGGGGGAGTTTAGGTTGGCACTGGTCGTCATTATGCCTTTGGGACAGATGGGTGCACTGGTCGCCAGTATGCCTTTTGGGCAGATAGATGCCCTGCTCATACGAACGAATGAATGCCCCCCCCCTTTTTTTTCGGACCACATTGAGAAAAAAACCACTATTCCTAATTCCTATTAACTGCCATGAATTCATTTGTGAATCTTTCAGACTGCCTTTCCAAGTCAGCGAGTGGCCATGGAGTCTCTCACAAGACAGACGCAAGTCTGTATGTTGGCTATATTTACCCTTTTAGGGCCTGATTCCCACAATTTTGGTCTGATCAAAACAAAGAAAACAATTAATAACCCCTTTTATAATTGACACATCCTCAATTGAACTTCGATTAGCTAAGACAAATCGATTGATAAGACGGCACTGAAATGGATTATTAAGTCCGATCTCTTGATCTTGTGTGTGTAGATAACGTACATACTTACGTATACATAGTGTTGTTTTACAAATGTATTTCATCTTCTGCTTTTTCCTTCATTTAAAAAAAAATGGCAGCTGTGAAAAGACCACTTCTAACCATTTATCATCGCCTAAGACTTTACAACGTTAAATTCTAATAGATTGATTAACCATTTCATTAAATATATGGCCAACTCTTTGTGGCTTATTTCTTTACGCCCTACTGCATAAAAGCGTCGACATATCAACTGTGCCCGTAACATTGTTTCTGTTCAGTTAACATCTAATAATAACAATAAAGCTAACATTTTCACGTCAAAGGGCACATTTGAAAAGTTGTGACATAATTTTTGTATTGTATGACTGTTACATTTACATTACACCATTTTACACGATGCCATCACGGTCGGCTATCGGGAAAGTTTATTTATCAAAATGAAATTTATCGATACAATAAATGTATATACTTTTTTTTTTAATATCCTGTTACCAAGTTTCTTTCAATGTTAAACTATTGTGTACGTACGCATGTTTATGTCCTATGTTTATGCATGTAATTCTTTTTTAAAAATCTGTATTGTTTATGACTTTCGGAATATTGCGTTATTTAGTCTTTTTTTTTTTAAAAATCATGTCTGCTGCTGGCGGCTGCAAAGGGCGTGTTAGTTATTTTAAGTAGCAGTGTCTTGTCTGTAAACTCTGAAGGTAGAACGACACACGTGACTGTTCTCAGTTCTATGTTAGATTATCTCTTTAAACTACTGTGATACAGTTAAATTTAAGTCACTTTCAATAAAGACGGGTCACACTGAGCAGAAACGTTGAAATATCACAAAAGAATCAAAACGGGGTGAATTCAATCATGAACAATTCAAAGAAAAAGATAATGAAAATGTAACAACAACAACAACAAAAACAACGTTTAACAGAGACGGAGAGCTCTTAGGACTTAGGCTGGTCATTCTGTTTGAGTGAGAGGAGCCCTTGGCCGCTTTAGAATTAGAATAATTGCGGTTTCCGATGGCTCAACTCGCTTTTGGTACCAGAGTAAATTGTGCTTGCCAGTTGAAAAATTGCAGTTTCTATAGCACTCTATTCGCTTTTTGTACAAAGTATATTGTGCTTGCCCGTTGCTGACGCCCAAGAGGACATTGGTCACACTCAAGATAAAGTTGACAAGGGTGACGTTGGTAACACTCAAGATAAACTTGACAGAGGTGACATTGGTAACACTCAAGATAAACTTGACAGAGGTGACATTGGTAACACTCAAGACAAACTTGAGCAAGGTGACATTGGTAGAAAACCGATCAAGTTTTCAGAATTAATGACATAACAGAATAAAACAAAAACATTTTTTTAAATGTTCTAAAATGTATACCCCCCCCAAAAAAAAAAAACAACAACAACAAAAAACCCATCCTCCCCGCCCCCCAAAAAACAACAACAACAAACTTTGGGGTTGTTATAGTAAACAGTCCCCCGTCCTTCCCCCCCCCCAATGTAATCTCTCAATCGACTTCAATATTGGCATGATTTCGAAATGACGTAGTGAGTATTGCTAGAGGCCCATGCGTGATCAGTGTGTAGTGTGTTGTCCAATTTGTGGGGAAAGGCGGAGGAGGGGGGGAAGGATGGATGTGTAGCACGAAGTGTTGTCTTTTCAGTTACAGCTACAACCATGGATGCAAGAAACGTTTTAAAGTTGTTGTGCAGCTGCTTTTAAAACCCATGTAAGTTATTCAACAATACAACAACAACAAAATACAACCACTTATCGTAGTTGTGCTTTAACAGTTCTGCTGTGAAATGTACGTCTCGAACCTATCATCATGTTGCAACATGGTGAGCCACGGCAACTGAAGTGTTATGCAAAGATAGTTTTATGAGTCTCGCAAGATGAGCTTTAAAGAACGCAATCATGTTGTGATGGCAATTTATACTATACTTCAATCGGTGCGTCTAGATGCGCGTATGCTGGCGTTATGTTGCGTATGTGTTTCGTGTATGTTGGCGTTATGTTGCGTATGTGTTCTGTGTATGTTGCGTGTATATTTCGTGCATGCATAGTGTGAGCGGAGTTCTTTCTGATTTTTTTTCTCTTTTTTTCTGAACGGTGTAAACGCTGATAAATGACACTAGATGTCTGTGAAACTTCTTGTTACATTGTGAGGCCCCGACCCTCCCCTACCGCACAACTCCACTCAATGCGTTAGGTCCCTGGTGACGCATGCATGTCTACTGCTCATCTTATCGTACACATTTTTTTTTCTTTACCTAAGCGTACCTTGACCAGTGTGGTTAGTTTGTGCACAGCATTACAACAGCAGTACAACACCGCTACAACAGCAGTACAACACCGCTACAACACCAGCACACCATCAGCACACCACCAGCACACCATCGCTACAGCACCGCTACAGCACTGCTACAGCACCGCTACAACACCACTACAACACCGCTACAACACCATGCCCCTGGTGACCACGAAAGATGCCGACGGGTTCACACTGGAAGTCTACAAGCGAGAGAGGGAGCCGTCACGGTATGCCGCGAAAAACTTCAACTGGGAAATCATTGAGAACATGCCCGTAAGTCAAGCTTACTTTGATCTTTATTGAACAATGCACACCCCGTTTATTTATTATATAAACAAACAGAGCCAGAATGACCAATGCATTGATCGTGGGCACTCAAAATATGGAAGAAAAAGAAAAAAGGAAAACTGTAAATGATCTCCCGCCAATGACGGACCGTCATATTGGACGGCTTGAGTTGTCCACTTCAAGCCTTTGGGTTGAGGCACGTCGGATGGAGGAGGAGGAGCTCCTAGGCTGTCTGAATTTCTAAAAGTTTAGGCTGGGGTAGATAAATGTAAAGCAAAGACCTTTATTTACCCCCCCCCCACTAACCCTGGGATGCGGGCATGTTTTCGGTTGCCCCCTGCAGCATCGTGTTTGTGGCTGGAACAGCACAACTGCCGAGAGAATGTCCTTTCAATAAAAAGTTATAAACTCTAAAGTAGCCTTGAGTGCAGCAGAGATGTAATCTGTAAGTTGAAGCTGTAAGCTTTGGTCCACTACCTTTTATAACATTTCCTTGTACATCTAACATTAACATCGCTGAAAGTCCCCCATCACAAGAGGATATTTTTATCTGTCAATCGACGGAGCCTACAGATGAACGCAACGCAGTGATGCTGTTGTGTCGTTTAAAATGTTAGAGTTGAGTAAATGTGAACGATCGTCGGGCTTAAGCGCCACCCACCCCCCCCAACCCCTTATATAGGGGATTAACATTCAGTTTGGTTGTTTTTTTGTTTTTCTTTCCAGGACTACCCACTCCGCGATGACGACATGATGATCTGTTCCTACTTGAAGTCCGGGTGTCGCTGGGTGTGGGAGATGACGAGAATGCTACGGACAGGACACACGGAGCTGGCCATGCTGGACAAGGAGGTCGCCATGCTGGAGCTGCACACGGTTTGGGCTGACATTGAGGCGACCAATGAACCAAGGATTCTCAACAATCATCAAGTGGGTGCTAGCTTCAGTTGTTTTTTTTTACTTATATATTCTTAAGAGACTTTAAATCTTGAGTTTAGTTTGTCTTTGCTTCCTTGTATTGCACTTACACACTCACCAAATGTCATGGTCAGTCAAGACGGTGCTTATGATGAAACGCATGCGCCAAATGGGGCGCTGACTAGGGACAGAGCCAACCTGGGCACTGGCTAGGGACAGAGCCAATCTTGGTACTGGCTAGGGACAGAGCCAACCTGGGCACTGGCTAGGGACAGAGCCAATCTTGGTACTGGCTAGGGACAGAGCCAACCTGGGCACTGGCTAGGGACAGAGCCAACCTTGGTACTGGCTAGGGACAGAGCCAACCTTGGTACTGGCTAGGGACAGAGCCAACCTTGGTACTGGCTAGGGACAGAGCCAACCTTGGTACTGGCTAGGGACAGAGCCAACCTTGGTACTGGCTAGGGACAGAGCCAACCTTGGTACTGGCTAGGGACAGAGCCAACCTTGGTACTGGCTAGGGACAGAGCCAACCTTGGTACTGGCTAAGGACAGAGCCAACCTTGGTACTGGCTAGGGACAGAGCCAACCTTGGTACTAGCTAGGGACATAGCCAATCTTGGTACTGGCTAGGAACAGAGCCAACCTGGGCACTGGCTAGGGACAGAGCCAACCCGGGTACTGGCTAGGGACATAGCCAACCCGGGTACTGGCTAGGGACAGAGCCAACCTTGGTACTGGCTAGGGACAGAGCCAACCTTGGTACTGGCTAGGGACAGAGCCAACCTTGGTACTAGCTAGGGACAGAGCCAACCTGGGCACTGGCTACGTACACCAAATGTTTAAGCATATTAACTGTGTGCACCTTCATTCCTAAAATCACTTGCATAGGTACGAGAGCTATGGAGGAACAGGGGAAAACTTTGACCAGGGAAGCCAGATGCTGTTAAGATGTCACTGTCAACTGTCGTCAGTTCAGCTTTGCGAACATAACCTAAGAACTAGTTTGACTATAGACACAGTATTTCATTCACGTCATGCCCATTTGTTGTGTACGTGTTCTCCAGTTCTTCGACGTGCAGCCCAAGGACCTGTTGGCCAAAAAGCTGAAGGTAGTTCTAGTTTACAGAAACCCCAAGGACGTGGCAGTGTCGTACTTCCATCACGTCAAGAGGATGGAACACTTCTACTCGTATGAAGGGGATTTCAACGCCTTTCTGAAAAGGTGTTGTAAAAGTAACAATTTGATGAATCCTCTTCCCCCGCCCCCCACCCCACCACACGGGTCGACGCCCTAAAACTTGACCTTCACCCTTTCACCACGAAGTTGACGAAGCCCAGGAAAATACTAGAGAATGACATAACCCTTTTTTTTTTTAAAGGTAAAAGTGTTACTTGTATTAAAGCGAAGACGGTTTACTCTTGGGCGGTTTACTCTTTGGACGGTTTACTCTTGGGGCGGTTTACTCTTAGGACGGTTTACTCTTGGGACGGTTTACTCTTAGGACGGTTTGCTCTTAGGACGGTTTACTCGTAGGACGATTGGTGACGTTTTTGTTTAAGCCTTTTACCACGGCTCGAGGCATTGGTCGTCTACAGTTCTGTGCTTTGTCTCTCCAGTCGCCTCCAGGTGTCTCTCTCGTACTTAGTGTGTCTGCCTCAAACTCTATTCTCTGTGTATCCCATACATTGTCTGCCTCTAAGACATACTTTGTGTTTCTGCCATCCTTTGTGTGTCCGCCCTACTTTTTGTGTCTGCCTCTAGCTCTAGTACCCAAGTATGTTATGCTTTGTTTACCTCAAACACTAGTATCCGCGTACTCTTTTGCGGTCATCTCTTTCGTTTTTTACGGAAGTTACCATGATAGGTATTGCCTGGCCATGTTTGCAAGGGGTTCAAGAAAATTTTGTCCTATCCACCATTTTTGCTTTGTGAATTCTTCAACAATAGATAGAGCCTATGTCTGAAGCCAATGGTCAAAGCACTGGAGCCTAAATTATTGCTGAAGACAATCGTCGAAAGAACTCTAAAAGATTCTGACTCATATTTCAGATTCGCTGAGGGTAATTTGGACAATAACTCAATGTTTGATTACCTCAAAGGCTGGGAGCAAGGGATCAGAGACAACCCAAGCTTAGACGTTCTCGTATTGAGCTATGATGAACTGAGGGTATGTGTTTGCATTGGTGTGTGCAATAGGCATTGTAAGTTATCGGAGAGGTGGGATGTTGAATCACTTCTATGTAGGACCTTAATATGATTCATATATATTGTAAAGGGATTAATTTAGTTAGGTTGAATGTGTGTCTTTGAGAGCCAAACTCTTAAGCATGTCAATCATCTGGTACTCTATTGATAATCAAACTTTTTACTGACAGTCGAAGTTATGAGAGACATCTCGTGGACAGTAAAAGCAGAAATCACAACCATTAATAAATTATCAGGTCGAAGCCTAAAATTAATCTAGGGAAGTGGATGCTATGCGTCCAGGAGGCAATGGTTTTTATTCGTTCACTAGCAGCAAGTTTCTTGATAACAGTACTGGCTCTATTCTAATAGGAAAATGTATTCAATATCAGGAGTTCAGCAATAACAGACTCACAATTCGCTTCAGCAGTGTTTGTTTTTGAGTTTTGGAATTCCTGGTCCATACACGTTTGGTCACGTGAGAAAGTAAGACACCACCCATGGCTGTGTCTGCTCCTTGATGGTCTAGGCTTCTAGGGGATGCACACTCAAACGTTTTTAAATAAACTTTATTACAAATCACACGACGAGTTTCTCCAAAGGACGACTCCTTTTTTGTTATTAGACATAAGTTACAACGAACAAATAAGTTGGAGGCCTACAACAGTCATGTATTTAAATTACCACCAGTTATCCTATACTATATTTAAAGACGAATCAAAAGGCCTAATGATAATGACGCGGTGTCTCTGCCTTATCATCATTGCCCCCAAAGACTCCTTAATAACAAAAGACGTCTTTTTGGTACACTTAAAATTAAGTAATACCCACAACATGCTAGAGCGCAAATAATTGTCAGACACCATACCCGATAATAAAGCCTAAAATCAAACCAATACATAGGCGTAACGTCTTTCATGCCCTTCCAATGGGGACAGCCATCGTTTAAGAAAAGTCCGGTAAATTCTTGTGATCTCATCTCGGTCTATCAAACAATAGCACGATCCACTGCCGCACTTGAGAGCTCTGGCCAAGTTTCTTGGAAAAGACTGGGGCGACTCATTCCTGGAAACCGTGCTAAATAACACAGACATCGAAATCATGCAGAAACTCAAAGGACTGTGGATATCCGATGACGACGGTGTGGTTATGCACCGTAAAGGTTTGTCTATTTTAGTTTAGATTAGTTTAGATTATTTTATATCATATTTTGTCATATTTTTTCCATTGTATTTCTGTATATATATTTTTTTTTAATTACCTTCAATTTAAACTCATCAAATTATTAAGAGTATTTGTGAACGACAGGAGTTGAGGAAAAAACAAACAATAATTTCTAGTGTTTAATTACAAATAGTTAAGAAAGTGATGGAAAGCTAAGAGGCCTTCATCGCGAGAACTCGCTGAACGAACAGACCTGCAAATGAAACAAGCGACAACAAGGGCCATAATGTGTATAGTACATCCCACCTAAAGTTTAAAACTGTGTTATCGTTCCTTACAAATGAGCTCGGGGGGTCCCGTTATTGTGTATGCCGTGCCATGATCATGGTAAAAATACGTGCATGAGAACAGAATGTCGACGCCGGTGGTGTCATGACCTATATGCACCGACGGGGTACTCGTAATCCTGTTTTATAGGAGAACTGCAATAATGTCATATGAACGTTGTTTGTCCTTTCCTATCTGCAGGGGCGGACATTCGGGTCCAATTGTACCGACCCCCCCTCCCAACCCCTTATCAAAAGCCACAACAAACCAGCCTTGTACCCGCACCACTGTGAAAATAGTTAGTGGTAAACAGCAATGAAACATAAGGGTCTTCATGTTTGACCTGCGCAGTAAGACTTCCGCTCCAGCGGGTCTCATGTAAGTAGGGGCCCATGGGGTTCCTCACCAAATGTTCTCTACGGGCTTTTTTTTTTTTTTTTTGAAATTCGGACAGCTCTGTGAGACACATATGGGTGTCGGTAAGAAAAATAAAATAATTCTAGTCTCACTTTGGTTCATATCTGCTGAGTCCATCTTAAATATGGGGAAACGGTGGTGGAGGAGCTGGTGGAGCAAGTGACGACGCAGGCGATTGTGGTCAGAGAAGACAAGGGAAATCCCCCACTCGATCCCTTTATGAACTGTAATTGTAGTGGTCGTCCTTGCTCTTGGATTGGGTTTTGCGTCAGACGCCAGGATGCCGTGGGTTGAGGAAAAAAAAAGGGGGGTTGGGGCCTGTACGAAAATCGCTTAACTGCGCCTAAATGTCTTCCCCATTTACCAAGTCAATCATTTTGTTGCTCCTTCGAAGATTGATTACTTCACAAATGTTACAACATTTCTCCTCCCTAGGCCATGTTGGGGACTGGAAGAACCACTTCACTGTGGCCCAGAACGAGTGGTTTGATCAAATCATCAATGATGCAATGAAGGACTCCAAACTTTTTACATTCAAATATACTCTCTAAAACAATTTTTAAGTGTAATCAAAAATATTTAATTTACCTCAGACATTGCATTTTGTAATATTATTTCATAACATTTTTTTTTTTACTAAACAGATCTATATTTAAAGTTAATCACCATCTTGGCCTCATTGCTCGGTCTATTTATTGTCTTGTTTGAATAAAAACAAAGATCAAATTTTAACAAGCATTGTTTTCCAACTTTTTAAATTCAAAGCCCCTATGAGTTGACATCACAGGTTGATATTTAGTCTGATCAACTTAAGCACACATAAGTTGTCGCGGAAGGACTTCTACTTACAATGTGTATGAAGTTTCAATCTTTGGATAAGAGTTGTCGTTTACAGAATGGTTAACATAATTATTTTTAACATGCCCTACGATCTCACGTTCCTCCAAGCATCCGTTAACATTTCGGTACGTCAAAATTGCACCTGATATCACAGGTATTCCCAAAATTGCACCTGATATCACAGGTATTTCCATGGTCGGAAAATTTCCACAGGAAAATCTAACGTTCTCAGTTGACTTTCAGGATGTCGACAAATTTTTAAAATATCCTAGTCGAAAACAAGAGATTTTACATGTGGAATTTTTTAATTTTATTTTAAAGGTCGATTTTTTTTTTTTTTGAAGTTAAGCCAACAAATGTTCAAGTAAGTTATTTTTGCAGGTATGGAAGCCTCGTGAAAAGCCTGACAATAGCCTGGGGAAATTTGGGCACAATATAATTAGGTATTGACTTATTGCATTGCATTAACGTTAGTTTTTTTTATAAATAACAAAACCAAGACGCTCCATGGTTTGTTTGTTTATTAGGATGTTTGCTTAGAGAGTTCTGGATAATAATTTTTTTTTAATCACGCTTCTAAATATCATAAATTTCCTTTTGAGAGTCAGATGTAAAACAAAATGATTAAAACAATTAATATAAGTCTACTGTAGTTCAATATTACGTGGTGTCTGGGGAATCCATCTTTTCTCATCAAACCTTGATTAAATAAACTTATCAAGAAAGCAACTCAAATACACGCAAACTAAACTACCTTCGCTAGAAGAACTAATTGAAGCAATGTGCATTTGAGAATCTATAAAATATTTGAGGAGGATATATTCCACCCTTTTCACTACAGATACCTAAGATCAGCTCGATCCGTACCGAATTATTATCCCTCAAAATAAGAGCAAAAAGATATAAAAAATAATTTGTTCCCCAACCTATCAGAAATTTTCAGCGTGCTCCATCAGCTGTTTAAAAAAAAAAAGTTTCTTTCTTAGTGTCATTACGTCACCAAGGGAGAAAAGTTCCATGGCTTATGATGGCTGATTGTCACGCTTAAGTTGGATCAATAAAGAAATCGCATTTTTTCTGTTAAAAAAATTGCTGTTTAAAACAGTTTTATTTTTATACCAGCGGTTTACCCATTAAGTCTCGGGTGGTGATCAATGTTCCCTTTAAGCTGCGCAGGAGTTTTGAGTACCGCGCAGCGAATTTCCACTTAAGTGTGTGTTTGTGTCTGTAGGCTGAAAATTTTGCGCACAAAAAAATTGATGCTGTAAAAATTTGCACACTATTTTATGATTTTGCACACGAACCAACAAACCTTAGAGGGAACATTGGTGGTGATAAGATTTCTCATTCATTGTTTCGATTTATGAAAAGATAAACCCTTTATCAAACATCTTGCTTTCTTAATTTTTGTTTAATGTGTCTTGACCATTACGACGTGATAGCGTTCTTTACGTGCATTCTATTGATTTAGAATATAGACATTAGGGTGCCAATGGGAAATTTAAACTAGAAGAATGAGTACCAAAATGTTATAGTTATGAATGAAATTTCTATAACCTATGCTCGCAACCATCTAAACCTAATGGTTGAACCATTTCTTAAAGAGGATTTTGTGTGTGTGTGTGGAGAAATTGCTTTTTTAAATAAAAAAATTCATGTTCATTAATCTTTTCAAAACTTCGCTTCGTTTCTGTTTAGGCTATATATATATATATATGTGTATATAAATTTGTATACATTAGATACACATATCTGTTTACATTAGATACACATATCTGGTTACGTTAGATACACATATAAAATATTGAAAATCTATAGAAACGCATGCGAGTTCAATTTTATTATTTTTTAAAATTATTTGGCAAAATTAGATGATATGGTGTTTTAAAGGCCATCTTAACAATATTATATCAGTCTTATATCAGTTTTATATCAGTCGTATATCAGTCTTATATCAGTCTTATTAACCAAAACCCAACAATGCTTCAGGGAAAGTACTGCTGTGGGGATTCCCCGTCATTAACCAATGTCGCTCAGTTGGTTCTCAGTACAGTACACGTGGGTTGGTGTGGTTAGCCTCAACGAGGATGTCCATGACTTTTCCTTGTGCTGCTGTCTGGTGTTCTGTCACACCTCGTGACATTTTAGGAAAACATCCCTTTGTCACTCTGCCATCCGTTCTTGGATACATCCACTGTAACCTCACGCGCTGACCCTGTTTCACCTTCTTTATTTAAGCCGCCAAGATTCCAATTCGACTTTTCAAAGATATTGAGTGTCGCGCGCAAAACGATGACCAAGACCCGGTACGTTCAAATTATTTTTTTTTTTCCTTTTTTTTAAATCGTTGTTAATCATGTGCTAGTTGTCCGAAAAAAAAAAATATATATATATTATATATTAAGCTTCTGGCAATGAATTTATTCGTGTTGTTCGTTTGTTTGTTTTGTTTAGAATGCGTAAAATAGCTTAAAAATTATGAGGAGTTTTATTTTATTAAGTAAATGTATCGCGAATAACCTACACTTAATTGTCGGCAGCTTTAATACAAAATTATAACCAGGCGTGCGGAAGTATCAAAATTATAAACAGGTGTGTGAATTTATTAAAACTAGATCTCTATACCAGGTGTGTGAATTTATAAAAACTATATAACCAGGTGTGTGAATTCATCAAAATTATAACCAGGTGTGTGAATTTATTAAAACTAGATCTATATACCAGGTGTGTGAATTTATAAAAACTATATAACCAGATGTGTGAATTCATCAAAATTATAACCAGGTGTGTGAATTATTAAAACTATAACCAGGTGTGTGAATATATTAAAACTATAACCGGGTGTGTGAATTTATTAAAACTATAACCAGGTGTGTGAATTTATTAAAACTATAGCCAGATTTGTGAATTCATCAAAACTATAACCAGGTGTGTGAATTTATTAAAACTATAACCAGGTGTGTGAATTTATTAAAACTATAACCAGGTGTGTGAATTTATTAAAAATATAACCCGATGTGTGAATTCATCAAAATTATAACCAGGTGTGTGAATTTATTAAAACTATAACCGGGTGTGTGACTTTATTAAAACTATAACCAGGTGTGTGAATTCATCAAAACTATAACCAGGTGTGTGAATTTATTAAAACTATAACCAGGTGTGTGAATTTATTAAAACTATAACCAGGTGTGTGAATTTATTAAAACTATAACCAGGTGTGTGAATTTATTAAAAATATAACCGGGTGTGTGAATTTATTAAAACTATAACCAGGTGTTTGATTTTATCAAAACTATAACCAGGTGTGTGAATTTATTAAAACTATAACCAGGTGTTTGAATTTATTAAAGCTATAACCAGGTGTGTGAATTTATTAAAACTATAACCGGGTGTGTGAATTTATTAAAACTATAACGGGTGTGTGAATTCATTAAAACTATAACCAGGTGTGTGAATTTATTAAAACTATAACCAGGTGTGTGAATTTATTAAAACTATAACCAGGTGTTTGAATTTATTAAAACTATAACCAGGTGTGTGAATTTATTAAAACTATAACCAGGTGTGTGAATTTATTAAAACTATAACCAGGTGTGTGAATTTATTAAAACTATAACCAGTTGTGTGAATTTATCAAAACTATAACCAGGTGTGTGAATTTATTAAAACAATAACCAGTTGTGTGAATTTATTAAAACTATAACCAGGTGTGTGAATTTATTAAAACTGGGGGGGGGGGGGGGGGATTGACTTACAGTGCCCCCTCTTCAGAACCCTCCACTTTTCCCAGAACTTATTTCTGCTTAACTGCTAACCCCGATCAAAATGTCAGCACTGACACCTGTTTATCTTGAAGAAATCCGCCATCTCCCCCTTTCTCAACACAGGTTTCTCAATTTCAATGTACGATTCTGATTGTGGGTCTCTACAACTTGGCAAATTTGATAAATAATGTTTGCCAAAAAAATATTTTAAAAAAGTTTAAAGTCTCAGTGACTGCTACTTTTTTTTTGTAACACCCGGATCCGGACTCAGACCCGGCCCGTATAGTGTCAAAATACCCGGACTCAGACCCGGCCCGTATAGTCTCAAAATACCCGGACTCAGACCCGGCCCGTATAGTCTCAAAATACCCGGACTCAGACCCGGCCCGTATAGTCTCAAAATACCCGGACTCAGACCCGGCCCATATTGTCTCAAAATACCCGGACTCAGACCCGGCCCGTATAGTCTCAAAGTACCCGGACTCAGACCCGGCCCGTATAGTCTCAAAATACCCGGACTCAGACCCGGCCCGTATAGTCTCAAAATACCCGGACTCAGACCCGGCCCGTATAGTCTCAAAATACCCGGACTCAGACTCGGCCCGTATAGTCTCAAAATACCCGGACTCAGAACCGGCCCGTATTGTCTAAAAAATACCCGGACTCAAACACACCACGTATTTTCTCAAAATACCAGGAGTCAGACCCGGCCCGTATAGTCTCAAAATACCCGGCCCGAGTGTAAAAGCTGCACTCGGCTCAGCCCAAGGGCAAATGTGTCGTCCCCCCCCCACTACTCCCACCAGCAATGACTTTGTATGGCGTCACTGACAGGCTGAACCGGTTACCAACCGAGGGCGTACGCTTAGATGTCCACAGGCGTAGGGTTAGACTAAGCTCCCTCCATGTCAACAAAATTAACTAGGACCTTTGTTTATAGGTTGTTGCTAGATTTAACACACACAAAAAAAAAATTTCCCCAAAACTG